AACAGCAAAACCAAAATTAATTACAAAAACTGTTAGCTAATTCTAACCCTGGATTAAGTTTTCCTTACAGATGTGCAAACCTAGGGCAGCTATACCTAGATTAGTACATTACTGAAATGTGAAATGGGTGAAATGGGAATATAAAGCCCATTTACGAAGAACAATCTTTGACAATATTTAGTATGGTAAAACATTCTGAAGAGAAAAAGCTTTGACAGTTCAAGTCAAAAGGAAGACGGTAGTTACCTAAGATTGGAAAAATACTCTTCCAATTGGTAAGATATATTAAATTACTATTCAGTACAGGATGCCTTTCTCTAAATAGCATGATACTTCATTGCAGCTGAGAAGAAGCATGGAGGTGGTGAGAACCAACATTCTCCCACACTACACCAATTCTCATGCACCTGTCAGGGAGTAAACAGCATTCTGAGAACCACTACATTGCTATTCAGCAGCATGCAGAGGGAATTACTTTTTAATTTGGTTCACTGAAATTAAGAATGTTTATATGTATGCTAGTAAGAATGAACTGCAGGTTTCAAGTCTTAGCTGTCAGACCATGAAAACGTTCAATCAATGAATCCAGTAAGTCTACAAGCTTTTACAACCTGAGCAGTGAATGAAACATAATTTCTGAATTGTGTTTATAGATCCTTTATGTTACAGTGCATCTCTTGCTTCGTCATTCTTTTTTCTAAGATTATCACAATTGTGTTTTTATATACAAGGGCACCCAATTAAGCAGCAAAATCAATGCCCTCCCACTCAGATAACCACTCATAAAGCCCGAACAGAACATAAAGGATATCCAGAGTAAAAATGACTTGCCCCACATAATGCTGTGAAACGATGAGTGAAAGGGCTGAGAAATAGGAGGAAGTCACTTAGACTCCTTTATTTACTCTTACTGAGATGAAGACATGGATAAATTATTCCTGCCTTTTGTGAACAAAGTAGTTCAAAAAAGGTTTCTTATCGTGAGAGCAGGGCTCAGCTGTAACCAGTAGGGCTTGCTACAAGCACTTCAGTCTACTCTAGCTGGTCCAGATCTGCTTCCTATTACAGCAGGCATGAGCAGCTCCTGTGCAACACTGGCAGAGGTCCTGTGGGCCAAAGGAAGCCCTTTGGAGGAGGAAGATATATGGGCACTCTTGTACCTGTCCACGTTGCAGCTTGTGGAAGACCTTCACAAAGGTGAGATGAAAAGTATCTTACTGTTAGAAACTCATTCTTAAGCTATTTTGGTATTTAAATGATTGCTTTGAGGGGATTGTTCTTTTTTTTTGTATGTTCATGTTTTTTGTTTGTTTGTTTTTTGAGACAAAAGTTATTAATGGCAATAATATCATATTTCTAATACAGATGAGAAACCTTTCAGTGCAGCTATGTTTGTATGCAAACTGCTGTGCCAACATGCAAGTCTTCACGCCGCCACTTTTTTCTAAACTACACATCAGAAATAAATTAAAGTAGAGCTATAGATGGTGGAACAGGACAGAATTGTCCTTCCTAATATCTGAATAACATATGCACAGAAAGCGCAGTGCCAGCTAGAATCATGTCCTTCAAGAACTGAGAGAGGAGGAGGATGAGTAAGTTCACATAGCTCCTCCATCTCTCAGTAAAAAACTTTTAAGCGAGTGATATGTAACTTCTATAGCTGGAGGGGTGAACTTTTATTGACAACCAAATTTTAATGGACTGCACCACTATGTCAGGCCAACTGAAGAATCAGTTCTCAAATATCTAGTGTAAACTACATGGTGTCCAGAGGTACTTTCCAACTGCTATAATTCTATGATTCTTTGATCTAGCCATACAATACAGGAACTAGGAACATGGAAAGGATTGCAACACAGAAATACCTACCTGGATAAATTCAGCTCAGGTCCATCACAGCTTATTAACTCCATGTCAGACACTAAGACAACCCTACACTCTTCAGGTCTTATTTTTTAAAAAAAACCAACATATATAAATAAATAAATAAATATTTATTTATTTATAATATATAATATATAGAAATGTGGTGCAAGGTTGCCCAGTCATGACTTTAGAGAACTCTAGTTCAGAGTGATGCCAAGTTTGACTCATTCTGAAGCTGAATTCCCAGTGATCCCGTTTCTTGGAGGGCAGCAAAAGTAAACTGTCTTTGCACAGTAACAGCCCAGATAACTAAGCCGTATCTCTGTCTCCACTTCTCATATTTGCAGCTGCATTGTTTCTGGAATCAGGCTCTTCTCAGGGCAAGTACTGCCACATTTGTGCTGCAGCGTACTTGATCTGCTAAACCTGACACTGGTCAGTACCAACTGGCTATCGCAGTATTTCCAATGCGTTTGTTTGGGCACAGATTAGTCAGTCAGGCATTCTGACTGGTTGGCTGGCCAACATTACACAAAACCAGGTAATCTTAATTGAGTCTAAAGATCAAGCTGGCTATCTGTTTCTAAAACACAGTAATTTCCTAACATATTCTAGTTGTATTTGAATACAACACTATAGAAATGGGGGAGGATCAAAGGATAAGGCAAGCTGATAATTTTAAGACCTTTAATTTTCAAAAAAATAAATGTCTTAACTGTTGTAAATATGGCCTGTAAGTCTTGAATCTTTGGGTACTCCAGCTATACAAAGTAGTATATAAGTTACCAGCTCAACACTTTTAAACTTTGTTCCACATTCCCAAAGTGAAGGTCACATGCGTAAGAATTAAGTAGCCATCTAGCTTTAATATGTGATTTTTAAAATGTAAAAATACCAAAACATTTACATCACGGTTCCAAAGTCTTCACCTATGGAGATTTTAATAGTCTCTGTTTTTCCTACCTAGACTGAAAAGAGTGGATCAATAGCCAACTTTAAAAACACATATATACCTATATTTGCAGGAACACTCTATCCAAATGTTTCCATAGTTAATACAGACTTTCCTTTCTAAGTAAACAGATAAATCTTAGACATTTTGTCATGGTTTTTTAAATGATATTTTAACTCAGTTACTCGGATGTTTTTTGCCAAGTTCTATTAGCACATGCATGCATACATGTAGGGTTTACAGAAGGCTGACCAACCTCCTGCTTCCCCTCCTGGTTCAGATCACTGAATATGAATATGAATATCACTGATCAATGCCATGGATATTTTTAAGGAGAACGCAACAATTTCTAAGAAGCAACCAGCCATTGGGCAAGGCTGAGGGTAAGCTCCAAGTAAGACCAGTCAGTATATTGTTTTTATAAGTGGAATTGAGAGATAGAAATCAAATCTTAAATCACTAAATTCCAGGTGACAAAATCAGCTAGGCATAAAAGAATATGACTACATGGACTTCAGAGTATGTCTTCTGGAAGCATTAGTAATGGATTTAGCTGTGTGGATCCCAGCAAAATGATTTTCTCAGCTCACTGAAATCCACAAGAACTCCATTATCTTCCTTACCATTTTTCAGACCCTGCCATCTGTGTGATTTGCCCATGGTCAGTACTACTGTCTGCTGAAGGAAATTTGTCCTTCCAAAACAATGCATCTCAGACAGAAGCTATCCCTTTCAGCGCACCAGAATTCCTCCACAGACAGAATAAAAACCAGCGCATCGGACTAACAAAGGTGAGGTATACTACAAAAAAGATCTTGATAAGACCTTGTGAAGAAAAGGTTGTGGGGTTTCATGCAGCATACCAGGTATCTACTGTCAAAACTGGTTTCTAATGATGTTAAACAAATCTGGCTACAATTGGAAAAATTTATGTATAAAGATTTCATAAAGGGTCTCCCTTTCTGTTTTGACAGATGTTGGTGTATTCCTTAGGAATGACTCTCTATTGGTCAGCAGACTACCAGGTTCCTCCAAACCAGGCCAGTAATATAAACATTTTTGTTTTCTTTTATTCTATCTCACTCTTGGTATGGTCAAAGACTGATAAGTGTAACATGAAGTCTCAGTAAAAGTGGCTATTAGTTTTGGACCACAAAAAGAATATGGCTGATTGGATTGTTTGTATAAAGGCACAGGCTTTATAAAAAATACCAATTCTTGCAGATAAGGAATTTAGTTAGGCCTCTTATCTCTCCTTTCTTTATTTTATTTTTCCTTTTTGAGAAGCAGAACTGTTTCTATTACGATTAATTTTCTTTTAAAAGTAAAGATTACTTGTTCAAAGACCATAATAAGAAATTCCCTAAGATAGGTAGGGCTGAAAGAATAATCTTCATTTCCACATGATTCTGGTGCTTCACATGTGTTTTTTCAAAGAATGGATGAGATGATGGAATAAAAACTTCTGGACACATTCTATTGCTAAGTGGAACTTTGCATATCTTGCTTGTTCATAAACTTTTCAAAAATGTGTAGCACACATTTCACTTCATTTCTATACCCATACTTTGACTGCATGCTCTTAACTCGGAAAGCACTACTTTCAGAGGTTATACATGGTATAAGGGAAAAGAGTCCAGAAGTTTAATGACTCTAAAATTTCAGTGTTTGGTCTCTATGGCAACAGTTTTGGCTTGCATAACTTCTTAACTTTATTAAGCTAGTGCTTATTACATGAATCTTTATGATGCACAGTCTAACTAGCAAAGACATGGAGCAGACTGAGTTGCTGGCTGTCACCTGGAAGCTTCTACACAAACTGATGGTCCTCCTTGTATATACCAGTTCCCTTCAAGGCTACCCTGTATCCCATTAGAGACTCCATTTAGTGCTGTTTTACTGCCTGTTCAGGATTGTCACAAAGTCTAAAGGAAGTTAATGCCCATTTCTCACTCATAATGAAAGCCTTACTGATCCCAGTTTAGACAGGATTTCAGATGACTGTGAGGTGTGACTTAACTGTACCTCCATGTTGAATCAGTCCCTCCAGCTGAGTGACCAATTACACAGTCTGTTGCTAACACTGTGTGAAGATCTGCCATATAAAAGACTTTCTCCTGAGTCAATTCTGGAAGTATGTGAAGCACATCAGAAGGAATCTTCTTCCTTACCAGCAAATATCTGCATAAAGAAAATGGTCCAATATGTCCTGGAAAGTGTCAGTGAGGTAGGTACTATTCTCCTACTTAATCTCCTTTTCAATGCATGCTTGTCCAAGTTAAAGTGAAATTTGTTTCTAGGCTTCTATGCAGAAAATTGAGTGGGTATGTGTATGAGCCAAAAAAGCAACAAAATCATTTCTCATGCCACAATCCTGGGAAATTATAGACGTCCACCTTTTGCACTTGCACTAGACTGCTGGATTTCTGTAAGTCTTTCCTTTGATTAATAACTGAAACTACCTTAACCTCTACTGAGACTTCATATTCACCAATGAATGGACTTTACACAAGAGAAATTTTCCCATTACCACTTTGGCTTCAGACTTTCTTTGTGATATTCAAAGGAAACACTTTTATACCACATTGAGAATTTCATTTAACTTCCTTAGCTGGTGGAGAACATTTACAGTACAACTCTGCCTGACTATGAAGCCTTAAATAAGTGAACAATTGAGTGTTTTTCAAGCTCTGAAATATCAGCAAACAATTTTTGTTGATAAGCTGAATGAAACTGAAACACATTGCAAATATTTCTTCTGCTTTCAACAAGTATTCCTTAGCATTCTGAGGGGACTTTTGCCCCTGTGCTATTACTCTATTTCCCACTGCAACAGAAGGTATTCCTTAAACATCCAGCACAAAAGCACAAAGCCCTCAAAGGTTGGTCCTGCTTTGTGAAGCCTGCCTAAGAAAATAAAGTTGCTTACAAAATGCAAATCAGCAAAGGGCAAGGATCACTTTCTAATGAGTGTCTGAAGTCCACGTATCACGTGACATTGACTTGCAGTACCATTGTTTTCTAGGTAGAACGAATAGCCACTGAAGACAGTACAACTTCTCAGCTTAATAGAAGTCACATGATAAGGAAGAGGCTACATGAGAAAATACCAGACACCTCACCACTGTTCTCCCAGATGAATTTTCACCAAGGTAAAGTAAATCTCTAGTCTGAGATGCCTAACAGCCATTTTTGACTCTCTCTCAAGTCAGGTGAATAGTCTAATTTCATGTTGCTCTGATTACATGCAGTGTTGAATGGGATATTTATTGCTTTACGTTTAAATGACTTAATAATGGAAAGACTCAGGCAAGTCAGCAAGATTTCTCTTCCTTATTTTCTCCAATAACAGTAGTCTGAATGCTGTGAAGCAATGATAACAAATCAGCTTGCACATATTTGACTCTTAAAGCAGTTTGCATAAGAACTGCATATAAAACAAAAGTGCTTTCAGCACTGCTTCTTTGCTCTCTACACTTCAGAGTATTTTCAAAGATCAAGAGTGGAATTCTGTGATGATATCCTATGGCCATTAAAGTAGATATATTTATCCTTCCTATTTGATTACTCAAACAAAGATTTCTGGTTTCTTTTTAATATTTTAGTTCCATTTCTCTGTACAAAACATGTTTTGTAATTTCACATATACATTGCTGGAGTAATTTCAAGACAGAAGGCCAAATCCTGCTCACCGTATATTTAAGCCAACATAAACTGATTTCACATTTCATTTGATTAAAATCAAGATTTTCTTATCTCTCAGTAGTTCTCCAATTGTAACTAAGTATGGATTTCAGGTTCAGATGAGTTCTTTTTTCTAATTCTTTTCTCTTTTTATCTTGTTTATACTGTTCTCTTTAACAGAAATCTCTGGGCTTGGGACAAGGGAAGGGTTGACTCTGGCCCAAAATGTACAGATTTTTTTTGGATGCTCAGCATTAAGTCTATGAACAATGCAATAACTGCTTTGCAAATCACATAATTTCCATTAATTTCAGCTAGAATTAAGCACGTGGTTAAATTTCTATGCAACTTCTTTATTAGGTGTTCACCACAAGAAAAGGAGGTCCATTTGAAAAGATAAAGCCAATGCATCCTTAAATCAAAGTGATTCAGGAAGTCAGCTTATAAGTTCATTTTTGCTTGAGCTGGTTAAACTGCTGCCCAAAGGGATGGTTCCATCCTTAGCTGCCTATTAGACTCCAATTCTTGGATCCAGTGATTATGTATCTGGGATGAGTTCTTTGTTTTTTAGTGGGTCAAGCAATATGGCTTGTTGAATGAATCGGTACATCAATTACATTGAGAATGTGTGAGCCAAACATTATGAGGCAGCATTTCATTTATTCTTTTAAATTTCAGTTAAAAAATGATCATCTTTTGAGATTCTGGAAAAAGTCAAGTGAAAATGCTAAAGTACAGTTAGGCTGCAACAGCAATATTTAGGATTACTCCTTAATCATAGAATCATAGAGTCTTAGAATCATAGAGTCATAGAATTATAGAATTATAAGGGTTGGAAGAGACCTGTGGAGGTCATCAAGTCCAACACCATGCTAAAGTAGGGTCCCTATCATCAACTGAACAGAAAAGCTTCCAGATGGATCTCAAATATCTCCAGAGAAGGAAGGAGACTCCACGGTGTCTCTGGGCAGCCTGTCCCAGTAGTCTGTCACTCTCACAGTCAAGAAGTTATTTTGCATGTTTGTGTGCAATTTTCTGTGTTCTAGTTTTTGCCCATTGCCCCTTGTTCTATTGCTGCACACCATTGAAAAGAGCCTGGCCCCATCCATTTGACTCTCACACCAAAGATATTTGTAAGCATTGATGAGATCCCTTCTCAGCCTCTTACTGCCAGGCTGAACAGACCCAGACCATTATTAATGGAATTTTTGCAGCTGATTCTGATAATGGATTGTGCCTAGGCACCGTCCATTCAGCACACAGAAAGAGTAGCTTATAGCTGAAGGTTTTGGGCCTCCAAATATAAGAAAGGAGATCTTCTTTCTAGGTTATCTGACTTTGCAACCTTTCAGTTAAGCATGCAGAATACAATTAATATATTAGATTTGTTTTATTTGGTATGGTTGAGAGCTGTGATAACCGAGACAGAATAAGATTATGGAAGGCCAGAGGTAAAATTACGTTACCAAGTTTTTTCAGTCCTTAAGGAACTGAAGTCAGGGTTAGAAGACAGACGAACATGGATTATGTAAAAGTTAGTCAAGCCAAATGTTATTTATGCTGTCATTCATCACAGAGATACAATGATTTATAATTGAAGTGTGTGATTCACCTTATTTCCTTTCTATTTCCAGACAAAGGGTCCAGATTAATGAATTATAGTCGATCAACAGAAGATTACAGACAACTCTCTGTGGACTACAGTGACACTAACAGCATTTCAGAAAGTACATCTTTGATACTGTCTAACCGAGGACACAGAAGAGGTAAGATTTTCCTGAAAGATTATTGTTATTAAACTACGTATTCTGCTTTTTGTCCCCCGAAACATGAAACTACCTACATACTGCCAAGTGACAGGAACTCCCATGCCCTTGTAACTATATGTCTAGGGAGATATGTTTGACTAAGCATCAGGGAAGAACCTTTTATACTGGTTTCTTTTTTACCTGTGTCCTACCAGGCAGCACCATCACCTCTTTCTTGCTTTATGCCTCTGCCAGATGAAGCTGTTGAGCAGATCACAGACAAAGCCTGACAGCATGTTTCTGCCATCTGGCGTTTTGAAACAGATGAGATGCCATGCAGCTCCCCCACGTTGATGGCAGTGTCAAGACAGCAGCACTGAGATCAGTTGAATCTTTGAAAAATACCTGACACTTACATGGTGGGGATTAATGTTTCTTTAAGTTCATTCAGAAACTAAAACTGAGAGCTAGAGAAAACAAACAAACTAAAAACAACAAATAAACAAACCACTTTCTGTTTTGTTATCATTTTGTCTTAAAGCTATTGTGTATTTCCTGTTCTGCATGTTGTTTTCATCATGATAAATGCCAGGTTGCTACGCTGCTCTTCTGATTTATTTTGTCTAGAGACACGAGGGTTGGAATTTTAACTGTATTTTCAACCCTTTTACGGCAGGAACAGCATGAATGAAGCTGCTTGGCAGAGGATCCATTCAGTGAAGACACTGTGGTAGACATCAGTCAGGGTCCATTAGTAGCCAGAGTCTTATCTCCTGCTGTGGCAGGGATTCAGATGTGCTCTGTAGCATGTATGTGTCTTTCATCCCAGAAATTTTTTTGCTAAGGCAATAAATCTAACATCTACCATGTCAATTATCATGCAACAAGGTATGCACACCAACTGTTAAGTTTGCTGATGCCATAAATAACAGATAACTGCTGAGTTTTTCTTGCTTTTTCTCACTGGGGAGCATTAATTTTCGTTTCTGATATATAGCTGCTGACTATCATGAAATCTGTAGGAACATATTACCCATTCTCCTTCAGATTTGACAAGTTTAAAATTTACTAGGTGAAAATGAAAGGCATGAAGTCTGATCTCAAAGAATTAATTTCCTTCAAAAACAGAGCAGAAAACTTGGGTGCACACTGCCTAAATGGAAGTCTGCCAGGAGATAATCTACCAAGACAAATAGAATATACCCAGGAAAATTAACAAGTAGAGCAGCCTCTCAGCCCTGTGTCCCAAAGAAGAGAAAGGCGAGAGTACTTGTGCTGCTTCTGTTGATGCTTTCTTCCTGTGAAAGGTGCTGCTCAAGAATTGCATTCAATATGGCAGCAAATAAAAACCTGTAAGGTACCATGGCTGTCCTGCTGAGGCTCACACATGTCAGTCATTTACCTAGCAGCACGTGGTGAAAGTAAGCTCAGGAGACTGCTTTGAAAGTTTTTTGCTTTTTTTTTTTTTTTGAATTTTGGTCATAAACTTGGGAAAGGCTCGTTTCAGTAAACCTGAGTGAACCACTGGTAGGAGTACTCAGAATGCTGTAAAAACATCTAAAAATGAAGGAAGAAAACTTGACTGTGAGTGCTTGTTTTCCACAGATGTTATTGCCTGAGATAATGTATTAAAAAAAAAAAAGGCATTCTTCTGCTAAAAGAAACATTACCTTCTGGTAGAACATCATTATCAGGAGAGATCAGTATCTCTATCTAGTCTGGACTTTAGAAGCTCGCTTAATATATAACAAATTAATCATCTACAGAGTCAACTTCTCTGAAGCCTGCATGTTAACCTTAAAGATCAGGAATGTATTGGATTTACTATCAAAGCATGACAGTCTGGCCACTGAAACTAGCCAACTTGGCCCAATGCCACAACAGCTAGGAGTGAGAAAACTAAGGGAAATGTTATGTTCTTGTCACAATATATATACACAAAAATGTAAAATCTCTGAGTAGATAACTGTGAAGGCTTTGTCATGAAAAATCATGTCATTTTAGAACATGAGACTGTACCTTAACTTTTGTACCTAGGCTTGAATATTAGGCTCATCTCATATCTTACACTTTGTCAATACCATCTGCAGCATAAAAAGAAAGTTTATGCACATTTTAGCAATGTGACTTGATGTTGTAGGTTGTTAAATTGCAGTTGGTGACTGGTACACTGAAATCTATCGCTGTGTTTTCATTCTGGAATTCAGAGAGAAGTCTCAGACTGTAGTTATGCATACTTCATCTGCAAGAAAAGTTGTCCTATCTCAGCTTAACTTATCAGCTCTGTTGTTCTGTCTAATTTGTGATAATTTGATACACAGTTCTTTAAATCAGATCAGTGAAATGATCCAAGTGGAGACAAATTTAACATTAACCACTCTTCCTTGAGGGATTTAAAAGACCTCCGACGCTGGTAAAAACATTCATGAAACTACCACTTGCATTACCATTTCTGGTTCTATCTCTACTTTTTATTTTTCACTTACTGGGACAAAGAAATGCTTATTCTTTATCTAGCACCAGAGTGGAACGAAGGTGAAAAATTTTACAAATCTTATTTGTTCATGACTCAAACTATGCTATATCATTACTAGATTTTTATGGTGTAAAAACACAATATACTTGATGTAGCAAACAACCGATGGACTATGTATAAATAATTTTAATTTCAGTGATTTTATATCTTGCTCTTATTAAAGCAGACAAGTTTCATGGCTTATTTACCCAGGTTTTGTACCTGAAAATGGAAGAAGGAATACTATACGTAATTTCTGAAGAGCAAAAGCTGTTTCACAGATTACTTGAAAGCATATGGAAACAATGGGCATTGTACACATGCAGCTATTTTCTGTATTACATCCTCCTAACGGGTTACAAAGAGGAAGTAACAGTGACTACAGAACTGGGGAATCCTTCTGGTGTAGTATTCACATAGCCTTATCAAATAGTTATTTATCATGCCCAGGCAAGGCCATAAGAGAGAAAGTGGTCAGACTAAATTTTCTGCTTATTCTAATTGTCCCAAGACTGCTGCTACAATTTCTTCAACCGTGACACTTCCTGCATTCCTTTCAGGGAGAGTTACACAGACACACAGGTCATGGGACCCCACCCTTAGTGGATCAAGGACACAAAGCAGCTACAAGCTCTTCATAAACAGGTAATCAAAACTTATATTCCTGAAGACAGAGGCTGTTTTATTACCAAATGAGGCAGAGAGCTAGTGTGGCAGTGTCATTATTGGAAAATACCTGGATCGCCAACTGAATCTGTTACGATAACAGATACTATTTACTTAGAAATTAAAGTGCACCTAAGATCAGTTTGGCTTTAACCAAAATTATACAAATGCTTTAAGGAAATTGAGCTCCAGCCCTGAGCAATCCACGCAAAACATACACACTGAAATTATCCACTTTTACTCTTCACCACTGTGTTCTCCCAGATGTTACTGTCCTCTCAAAATAGTTGCACAGCTTTACACAGCTGTCCCTACTGTCAAAATCAGACACTGTGGAAAGGAAAAACCTGACACAATTTCCACAGACATGTAGTGGTAAAAAGGTACGAACAGTCACTGCTTCTACTGGAAAGGCATTTTGCAGAGTATCTATTTGTCTTCATTCAGATTTTGCATCTGAGTCTTGCCTTGCTCTCACATTAGCAGAGGCCTGATCTGTTCTGAAGCTATGCAATACTACACCTGTGCATGACAGATATTTCAGTAGATTATTTTCACTTCCGTCTCAGTTCTCAGACAGATTTACATCACTAGTATCAATCTTATCTCCAGACCTGCACTTTTGAGGAGTTACAGGTAACCTGGGAACATAAACAGTAAAGACCTCTGCTCTGTCATGAGAATTAGCCTCATTTCAGCCTTGGAAATACAACAGTAGCCTTGTGCATATGCAAGGACAACAGAGGATTGTACAATTGATGCTAGCTCATTTTCAAAAGCCAGCTAAAACACCACTACGTCCAAGAGTTTTCTAGACTAGGTGTTATCGTGGTGCAGTTATAATCAAGACTCAATAAATGGAGAAGAGATGTAGGTGCTGTTAGCCTCTAGGCATCACAAAGACCAGAATCCCATAGTTAAGCACTGTATAATCCCTACAGACATCCCATTTAAGTTGAGTTCTTGACCCAGTTAATCAGGAGTTTCTTCTTTTAACCATGACATGAGTAATTTAGGCCCACAGGAAATGCTCAATTTAGATCAATTCCCAATTAAATGTATCCCAAATAAACAGTTTGAACTTCCTGGTAAACCAGCCATGATAATCTGATTTATGGGAGATACCTCATTGTACCTCTGAACCTGTACCAAGCAGGATGCACTACAGTAGCAGCTTTTGTAAAGGAAGAACTGTATCTAACTACACATGTGTATATATGTATATACTGAAACCTATATATACATCACACACCTGGCAAATATATCAGTAGAAGATTTATTTATTGAGTGTTTTTGGAGTAACTTCCATGCTTCTGACTACCAATCTGGATATCAATCTGACATTCATGATCTAAAATAGTGCTGACAAGAAAATGTTCCCCTCCTCTCCTGAAAGATGATCACTCTTTTCCAAATTTCCAACAAACCCTTTCCCATAAAACTTCAGGAACTGTAAGCCTCACTTTTAGTTGTAAGCACCTGCAATTGAATTTCCAGCATGATCGTTGACTCTGTTTCACATACAGTAACAACAGCAGAGTGGAAATAATTTGTTTGGAACCTGCTAGTTCCCTATGTCAGGCAGCCAAGACAAAACAAAGTAAGTACTTACTGCCTACAAAACTTACTCACATAATCACTCTCTGTAAGGAGTCCAATCATCATAATTTACAACTCACAGTCCTAAATTTAAGCTTACCAGTCTATGCAGGGCTACAGCCTGTACATAAAGAAGATACAGGTGCCAAGTCTGGTATCAGTCACTCTGCAGGACTAATAACATGAAATGTTTGCCACAGGAAAATATAGTCTTGCTGATACGATCTCTTGAGTTGTGAGCCAATAGCATTTTCATAGCCACAAATGTCACTTGAGGTTATTTTTAGGGATATTTCATAGTAAAACCTCTTTCCGAGGTTAAATTGCTTGAGATGACAATACTTGTATATTTGTGTAAGTAGAGAAATATAAACTACTCCAACAAATTTGATAAAAAGCTTTTGAAACTCTCTGTCTCTCTGAAGCAACTCCATCACGCACACAATAAAAGGATAAAAGAAACAAAAACCCTTACTTCATTGTAATTTTGGCAATTCTTAAAAATATAATTAACAATAATCCATGATGACAAAATCTTTCCTTCTGTACTGCATAAAGATTCTTTCTTGATTAGTAAGCATACATTAATTACACTGCAAGCTTATTCTAGGCGTACATTTGTCTGCTCACATGGAAAATACTATTAATTTGTGGGTTAAAAGTACAGTACAAAGATGGCTTTCTGATCTTAGATTTCACACATCTTTTAATTAAACTGAAAACTCCCTCAGTTCCTTAAGACATTAATTTATGCTAATGAATTAAAAAATAATTTAATTCCCATTCCTGGAAAATTCTAAATAATGTAATAACAAGTATTATTTCTGAAGCTTTTTTGTTTCAAAAAAACATTAAATGAGATCTTGATTTCTTCCTGTAGACTTCCCAGAAAGCCCCAGAAATATATGGGGCTAACTCCTGTGCCTGTTGCCTTCACTGGACTTAGGCCAGCAAGATCTGTCTCACCAAATGAAGAAAGAACTGTTACTGAATTAAAGAGTAATTTTGATTTGTTTATAATTTGCATCATTAATATTATATCTGATAATCTCTTTTCCTTTAATGATGTCAGTACATAACAACTTGTAGCTGACATTGTCCTGGTTATCATAAGATTCTGTCATCGATGTACCTTAACAAGGTACAAGCCTGTCTTGTTTTGCTGCATTCTGGATATCCTTCTCACTGTTACATCTCCTTTGAAGGTCAGTCAGTGCTGTAGAAGAAATCCCTGGTGGAGCTCATAGGAACAGCAGACACAACTTGCTGAGTTTAGGCTCCACCTTCTCTGTGTCTACAAAGGACTACACAGCAGCTGCTACATCACAGAAATGTTTGTTCCAAAGGAAGGAAAAGGTGACTAACAAAAAGCGTGTAAACTGATCTCAAAATGTAAATATCACTAAAGAGAAACTTTATGTTCTACTGTCATTCATTAATGACGTGCATATTAGCTACTGAGTCATCACTTTAGCTGAGTCTCCTAAACTTACAAAGTCCAGATTAGTCATGATCCAGTTGTGATAACTCAGAACTAAAGACAGTGAAAGGTCTTGTATGTAAAGACTAAGCATATTTAGGCCCCAGAGTAAATGAACAGGAGAGAGCTCCGACAGATGGAAGTCTTAAGTCAACATTTGCACCAGAAAAGTCCCTGAAGTCATTTAGGTGCAGCACGTCAATCAACAAAAATGGGTTCAATTGGTACCATTGCTAGGGATCTTTGTTATGTTAAAGAGACATCTTTTACACTTCTGAATTGTCTCCTTACAGTTCTCAGGTCCAGAATTCATTATTTTGTCAAGTGAACCACCAGTGACTTTACAGCTGCCCGGATCAATTGTGGTAAGTACAAGCATTAAGAATTTGAAGCTAATTTTATGATCTTTGAGTTGGGACTCTTTCTAAGTTTCATCTGAGTCCCATTCCAGTTCTCTTGCTATGTCCTCTTTTCAAACAGAATTAGAGTTCCTGCACAAGTACTGAGACTTGAAAGCAGACCATTTAATTTTCAGTGCAGCATAACTATCTCTGTTGCAGTGACTGCTGTGAAAATAGCTGAATTCATCTTTCTCGGATAAGAATGCTGTTATTAGTATAAGACTTTTGAGACTAAGATTATACAAGAAATTACCAAGGTGACATCTAGAGCCAGTTTACTGGACTCCTCCAGTTTGCAAGCGTACCCTTTACCATTCTTAAGATAAAGCTAAAGTCTGACGGCCTACAGCAGTAAATATTAGAAAAAAAGAACCAAACAACTGGGATTATCTTCAAATCTAGAACAAGTCCTGATGATTGCAGAATCCATTTTGTCGAGATTCCCTGTTTTTTCTTTTGTTTGCTTGTTTCAGTTTTTGCTTTGCTTGTTGTTGGCTGGTTTGTTTTTAATCGGACACGTTTGGGATACGATATGATTCATGGTAGTGGAGGCAGGGATTAGAATAGTGTTGTGGCCAATTTCATCAGGTTGTGTAGGGACTAGAGACCAGGGCCTTAGCAATAAAATGCTGTGGAGTTTGCATTGCTTGTACTTGGTACTTATTCTTTGCTCTTTATTATATGTTCTTAGACTAAGAAAGGAAAATCCTACTTGTCCCAGAGGGATCTCAATGTGATTCTACTCAATGGTCAGTGCCTTGAGGTGCAATGTGACATCAAGTCCAAGGCAAGAGATGTTTTCAATACTGTGGTGGCATATGCGAGCTTGGTGGAACATTCCTACTTCGGTTTGGCTTACCTGAAAGGTACTGAGACAGCTAATTCTGGTATATTAATAAATGCAGTCCATTTATTAATGAATTCCAGTAAGATCCTTAAAGATCTTCAGATGTAAGCAGATCTAAAGCTTAAGCAAAAGTAAGTTATGTCAATTTAAACTGTACTGCGCTAATGGAAAACATGTCTACTTTAATACTGTGCATGACTACAGCCACACTGACACTAGCTGATATTCTCATGCAGAAAAGGCTCTGTCAAAGCCATACACCAGAATAATGCTGAGCCATGTTGCCCCAGCAGAATTCTAGGAAGTTCTGTACTGTGCAAGGCTCGTTGTCAGTGCTCTCAGATGTAATTTGGAGTGAAGAACCTGAATAGTTAGCAGAATTCAAGCCTCATAGATTCTTGAATAATTGCATAGACAACATACCAATCCATATCTAACAGTTGTAATCCTAAATTACATGCTAGATGTCATCCTAAATTCTTTGTCAAAGCAGCAATAGACTAGTCCATAACACTGAGAAGTTGACCTCAGCTGATATTCATGATCCTTTCTTCTATTGCTAGTGATGTTCCTAACACAGGCAGCAGAATTTTGAGCTATGGAAGCTGTTCTGGGCTCCAGACTTACCACAGAACCACAAATTCTCGTTTCAGGTAAGGAGTTTTTCTTTTTGGATGATGAGACCAAGCTCTACAAAGTGGCCCCAGATGGCTGGAATGACCAACCAAAGAAGAAAACCTCCATCATCAACTTCACACTCTTCCTAAGAATAAAATTCTTCGTCAGCCACTTCAGTGTTATCCAGTAAGTGCATGTTTCTGCTGACTGCTGGTAAAACAGCAGTCAGCAGACTGCTGGTAAAGCAGGTAAAGCAGGCAGGCTGAGTGGTCAAAGCTCATCTTGTGTTCTTAATCCCTTCTGTGTTCCAGGCACAGCTTGACGAGACACCAGTTTTACCTGCAGCTTCGTAAAGATATTTTGGAGGAGCGGTTATATTGCAATGATGAGACTGCCCTGAAACTTGGCGCTTTGGCTTTACAGGCAGAGCTTGGCAATTATGCTTCTGAGGTGTGGATAAATAATAAAATATTTCTCAGAGGTCTCTGTCAACATCTTTTGCAACTTTTGCTTGTCATATAGCTAAAGAATGAAATGTGAATATTGCACAATTTGAACGAAGTCCTCCAGTAATCACACTTCAGATTTAGTTTAAAGAATTATGAAATTTGTCTGAATTTGAAGTAGTAGTGAGCCAGATGAATTTGACAGTAAATATGGCAGAATGATGAAAGATTCTTGATCCTTCATAATTGTCAATATAGCCTAGGATGTCCAGAAAATCTGAAGAAAAATTCCAGTATAGACACAGCTTGGATGTGCAAAGGGGTTTAAAGGGATTAGAAAGCATGGAAGAGAAAAATAAACACTCTGGAATTCACAGAGATTTTGTATGTAGGTTCAGATCCACAAGTTGCAAAGACAGGAAGGTTGCAGAGAGTGTATCTGAACTTGTCTTGTAGTTTCAAAGTTTCAAGTAAACATCCTTTCTGTTCTCTGTGGTATCTTCAGTTATGCAAATCAGTGTAGCACTCAATGATCTGATCCATCCAGTCTGATCCAGCCTGACATTGGGTCTTGCAGCTACAGCTGTCAGCTGTGAATGTAAGACAGCTGGGTTGCCTGCATGCACACCTCTTTTCTCCCCTCTGCACAGCATAGTGTGTGCCTTGAGCATCTGGATGAGCACAGGTGCAGGAGGCACATTTGGCCGTCAGGACACACTATCTGCTGTTCCCTACCTTCTTTTAGGAAGTGACAGCAGGATGACTTCAGCATATGGGTCACACTGAAAATGGAAATGCACCAAATAAGAAAAGTCAAAACAGAACAAAAGGCTCCTGTCTCTTTTGTCTTTTCATTTTTTTTTCCCCTAAAGGTACATGGAAAGAGTTATTTTCGTGTTGAAGACTACATTCCAGCAAGCCGAATAGAGAAAATGACCCTGGCACATGTACAGAGAGAGCTTGCTAAATTACATCGCATGAATCGCTCCCTATTTGAGGATGAAGCTGAACTAGAATTTTTAAAGGTAATTTGCCACACACCAAAGGGTATTTATCTATTTAGTCTTTGATATCAAGTCTTCATTTGCCATTGTCTACTATTTCCTTGTTGTCTAATTCAGTGGATTTTAGATGCAGTGAACAAATTTGAATATTCAACACAAAACTCCAAATTTCATTCTGCTATAGGCACTGTCACTATTATCAACTTATACTCCATTAAAGTATAAGGTGCTTTTCTATTGGTAGTTTATAAACGCTTAATGCACATTTCAGGATATTTTCAACATCCTAAGAGCCGATGCAAGTTTTCAGCATGCTAAGGACGTGTTGTCTAGGTTCTAGATGATCATGAATGCAACTACTGAATGTATTAGAGAGAGATAATTGTAAAGCAGGGCAATAAGCACCCTTTTGAGTTTCAGAATTATAGCGCATGTTCAGACATTTTCTGAACAAGCAGTGATTGGTTGTTCAAAACATATGCGAAGCACAGAAGTGAGGAAGGAGTTAGCTGAAGTGTCATCTCATATGATTCTCTATCAAGAGTGTTATGATGGAGCAGGATTTAATTTTTTTCTTAATTTCTCTTCCTCTCCAAACTTCTCAGCTTCCCATAAAATGGAAAACATTAAGGAATAGAAAATGAATAAATAACAGAAGCCATTTTGCTGCAGTGCCACATGTTTTTATTTATAGCAGCATTTTAGTTCAATTGCTGTTTAATTATGTTCGTTTATCATCTAACACTGTCAGTGGAATTGAAGAAATAGATTGAGGCTTAGCCTTAATAACAGTCCCATCATGCATAGAAAATCCAGTGAAGGAAAGCAGCTTTGTTCATATTTGTTTCAATGAGTTCCTGAAGAAGGAGCCAACACATCATACACAGTAAAAGAAAGACAGCGCTCATGGCAAGAACATGCAAATTCCAAATATAAAAGGGATTAAAAATTAAAACCAAGATTTGTATAGTGATTATGGATGTCCCAGTTTTCAGGCCCTGAGTATTTGTGCTCTGGATTCTTCCTTTTTTCTTCTGAAAATAGATGTTCTGAAAGTGTTTTATTTTGGACACTGAAAATCTCTATTTGTGGTTGAAATTCTGCATGGGCTTCCCACAGAAAAAGGATATTAGGATAAATTAATATTGATCTGAATATCGGAAAAGAGACCAGAAAATCACCATAATATTCTGTAGTCCTAGAAAAGGTCTATGTCATATTTTAACATTTTGTGGCCAAATGTAGGAGGTAGAAAGACAAGCATCTAGAACTGCTGGATGTGGCTCCTTGCAATATCCTCTTCGTGATGTTAGAAGAAAACTCCATAATTTAAGATTTGTTGTAAAAGAAATTTTTAATATCTGGTTTTAAAAAATGATAGCAGTGAAGGAATTAATGTATGTATTTGGGTGACTTTGTTATCAGTAGCAATGCCAGAGTAGTCCTGGCACAAAAGTTTTAGCAGTTTTCCTAAGATCAGCGTATCAGCTGTACTTTATGATTTCTAATTTTCTTGGGGAAACAAAGACGTAGAAAAGAAAACAGAAATAAGATTTAGCAGTTGAACAGTATTAATCTGTTCAGAAATACATGCAAATGCTAAGTAGCAGTAATACTACTGCTTCAGTGCCACTGTAAAATTTAGATTATTCTGCAGGAAGTTACATAATCCTCTTAGTTCTTCAAATGAGGTATGTGGGAAAGTGCTATTTTAATTTTATCATGGAAAATGAATGCATATGGTAGCCCTATGACATACCAAAGTCAGGTGATTATTTTGTGAAAGAGTAGGTGTGAAAATTTGGGAAGGGTTTCTAAGCCTTTCTTGAGAGAATCAAGGAAGATACTGTACAGGCACTCAAAACCCTTTCCCCTCCCATCTACCTACCAGTTTTCCTCTTGCCTCTTTTTTAATAGCACGTGGTAAGTGCACTTTTTCTCTGTTAGGTAACTCAGCAGCTTCCTGAATATGGAGTACTATTTTATCGTGTGTCCCAAGAGAAGAAAGGAACAGGAGGGGACATTATCTTGGGAATCTGTGCCAAAGGCATCATTGTATATGAGGTCAAAAATCACACAAGAATTGCCAGTTTAAGATTCCAGTGGCGGGAAACAGAGAGAATTTCAGCTCATGTGAGTTGCAATCAAGTGAAATTCTACTACTTTACACCTCTTCTGTCTGTCACTTTTATAACTTTCTTCCATTTGGTGCTAGAATTAGACTGACTTTGTACAGATACGTTCGTTTTGAAACCAGACTAAAATCAAAGTATGACATGGATGTGGATCTCTGGATAGCCAATTCTCAGAGATGCTTTGTTTCTGTTGTTGCTCCTGTTTGTTTTTGAGAAGGATGAAGTCAATTACTACAAACCTGAGTAAGCTGAGTACTACAGAAATGATGCCAAACCTCTATGTAGCATATTCTTTATTCACTCCTTTCCCATCTTCACTTCTCTCTCTCTTTTCTTTCATTTTCCTTTCTACATCAGGTCACTGGATCTTGACTACCTTTCTTACAGATCTTACTTTTGCATCCTTATCTCTTAGTATATGCAGTGTCTCTTAAACTAGTATTGGTGACAAGATTATAACTCCTATCTTCTACCAGAGGTATATATACCATCTTACAGAGGCCAATATACCATCTTACAGTGCTAATATTCACCACATCTCCCAGTCTATTTGCTTCCCAAGAAGGCCTTTCTGACCCTTGAAGATTTTTTTTTGTTTCACTTTCAACTGCTTTAAACAGTTTAAGATCTCTAGGGACAAATTTGCCAAGCCTATCAACCTGCTCCCAGTGCAATCAATGTCTCAAAGGCTTTTGACTTTCAACATAGGGCAGTTATGAACTGACAGCAGTTGAACATACAACGGGCATTTTCTGCAACTGCAAGAGATGCAGAAAGGCAGAAATGTACGTAGACAAACAGAATGCAGATGAACTTTCAGTGCCTCAGTATAATGTTTGATATATTAGATGAAGCAAGCTGTGTTCTTTTTTTTTCCTTTAGAGAAAGAAATTCATGATTGAAAGTAGCTTCAGTGGCAAGAAACACACGTTCATTACTGATACAGCAAAGACATGCAAATATCTACTGGACCTCTGCTCAGCCCAACACAAATTCAATGCACAAATGAATTCCAGGCAACTTCGTCAAACTTCATCAGGTGAGCAGTACATGTACTTTCACTGTACAGTCCATAGTACAATGTGAAGTGCTACACGGGAGAAAAGAACTCCAAAGAAAAGACAGACACTTTAGTTAAGCTGAGAATCAGAACCTTCACATCAGATTCTCTGTGCTTCAGTTTTCCCTTTGCTGAGTAGACAACAGTGTCTTCTATTTCACTGAAAGCTAGAAGTGTGTAAGTCAAATCTAGTGTGTGCATGTGAGTGAAGTACTCTGCTGATAATATCTGTGTATCTAACCTCAGTTTTGCAAAAGGCATAATTACATTACTCTTCATGAAACCTGAGAATTATGAGGACACATATTAGTTTTATCCCAATTGTAACCCAAAAAATGTTCAACACAAAGAATAGCAAAAGTGGTGTCCAGATATGCTATAGGTGAAGTTAGTTAGCTGGACATCTTTGCTTAAAACAGGGATTCAAACCCATGGTTCAGTCACAGGACAAAGCCACTAAATCTGTGGCACAGCAGTCACACTCACTAGATTGCAGTAGCTGGCTGTTCTCTTCTACCACGAGGTTTTGCCATATTTGTGGGAGATATCACTATTACCTCCTTAGACTTCAGATTTTCCACTGTTTTAATACAAAGTTCTTCTCAACCCAGAGCAGTTATGCAGCATTTTTCACATGCAGTCCTCAGCATGTTCTGTATAGATGGGTGAGGATCATTCTGGGGAAACTGAGGCACATGAGGAATAACTTAGCCTAGGCTGACAAACTGACATCACTTCTCACCTCAATGGAGCAAAACAGGTTTTTATTAGCTGAGGACTCAGCCATTGCCTTGAACAGAATCGTAATTGTTTACAGCTACTGAAGCTTTGACCCAATGAATCATGGCAAGAGAGAAATGCAATGAATTTATTCCACAGGATATAGCAGGATGATTACCATCTTGCTTCTTTTCCACTAAAATTATTTCAGAGAGAGAAAGCAAAATTCCACCTGCACAAATTTGTTATCATGGAAAAAGATGCTAGAATGACATTTAGGTTCAAGATACAGTCTTTTTGCTTGGGCTCCTGTAGCTTCATAGGAAGCTCAGTGGAACTATGATTTGTAGCAAGTAAATGAGGCCTAATTTAATAAGTGTATCTTAAAGTTTTCTGAGTCACTTTTGCTTCCAGTAATACTTTTTATGAAAATTACTACATTCCTAGTAAAACAAAATGATTGAGAGCTTAGAAAATTGTGACCCAGGTCCTAGTTACAACTCCTCAAGTCACTGAAGCCAGCCAAACTCCACAACTGTGTGACTGATTCTGAGGCTTAGTGCACTTTCTGCCCCAGAAGAAAAGGCTCCATGAAGGCAGTGACAGACAGCAGTTCACAGTGCTGCCTTTGCCACCACTGGGAGTCCACAGATTAGTAGTCTGTTTCTACATGAGGGAAACTCTTCCTTCTGCATTGTTAATATGCATAAGTCACAATCTCTTCAAAACTTGCTCACCATCCCCTGCTTTGAAATCACCATGGCAACACAGGCTGTGCTAATACCATGGCAGCAAGGCCTGCTGCTGCCTTTGTGAATGTGTCTGATCAAAGCTGCTGAGGATGGGGAAGCCCAGATTTAGTGCTGCAGAGCAGGACTCCAGAAAGCTGCATTCAGAGCAGTGTTTGTTAGGACAAGGCATGGAGGGTCAGTTGGCACGTACAAGCAGAATGAAAGACTGCATTTGTGTGAGCCAGTACCAAGCTGGGTTCTTGTTTTACCTTCAGACATGCCTCTAATTACCTGCTGTTCTTCTCTCTTTCTAAGTGAGGAGTGCCTTCTTCAGCACTGCCGCCTTGTTTTAGAGAAAGAAAATCTTCTGATAGGATAGATATGTAAACTGCAGAGTCCAGACATCATTAAATAGCAGATGTCGTACACAGGTGTAAAATTGGGTATCAAGCATTACCACAAAGACAGGCTCTCACTCAATTTTGCTTGGGCAAATCTCTGAGAGCAAAGAGCCAGTTCCATGGATCCTCTTTCATCTTGTGAGAACATGTGTTTGGAGTACTTCTGTCTTCTCAGATATACATACTTGTTGAGGTGGACCAGTAAAAGATGAGGAAATACAAGCTTGACTGATTCAATCTCTGACTGACAGAAAAGTTTCCGTACATAGAACTTTAAGAGTATGCAATTTATAGAGATATTCAGGTTTAAATTATGCAGGGCTGTACATTTTATCTGTCAAAGTGGATTCACAGTATAATTCACAGAAATGGAATTTACATACAGTGCATACTTCCTATTAAATCAATGGATTGGAAACTTTTTCACTCGCTTCAAGTCTTAGATATTCTGAAATATACTAGAACAAATATATCTGTGATGTTAACCTTTTTGCTGGTGCATTCAAAATGTTAGGAAGCAATGTTTGGTTTTAGAAGATGGGATAGCGTCAGTGGACTTATCTTTCCCTCCTCTCCCTATCTCCCTTCTCATTCAGAGGAAAGTAAATTTATGGAAATAGACAAATCAAATTCTGCATATGCAGCTCAGCATGAACACCTTGCACTGATTCAGAGACTATCTCGTTCAGAAAATGTGCTGTACGGGACAAACGTGGAAAACCTTTCTGCTGAGATGATGAGCAAGTCCTGTGACAACCTCAGTGTGGAAACTAACAGCAGGACAAGAGACAGAAGCAATCTGGGCAGGTAGGTTTGCTTTTTTCATTGAACCTGTGGAAGAATACTCAGTTGTAGACAGCATCACAGCAAAACTCTACGATAAGATGCAAGAAAGACTTTTATTTTGCACTGCTTATTCAAAAGTCCAAGTCAGGATTGGGACTCCTTTGTGCCAGTGATAGTGTACACAGGCACAAATCTACAGTCGAACAGATAAGACCTTGAAAAAGATTGGCATTTAAATTTTTACCAGGTCATAATTTGAGCACTTACTAGCATATGAAGATGTATGAAAGCATCTGTATTCAGTTCTGGGCTCCCTGGTACAAAAAAGGCAGGAATCTCCTGGACAGAGTCCAGTGCAGGGCCACAGAGATGAATAACGGACTGAAGCATCTCCCTTATGAAGAAAGGGTGGGTGACCTGAGTCTGTTCAGCCTTGAGAAAAGAACAGTTGGGGTGATTTTGTTAATGTTTATAAATATCTTAAGTGTGGGAGTCAAAGGGACATGGCCACTTCTTTTCAGTGGTCTGTGGGGACAGGACAAGGGGAAATGGCCATAAACTAGAGCATAGGAAGTTATGCACCAATATGCAAAAGAACTTCTTCACAGTGAAGGTGACGGAGCACTGGAACAGGCTGCCCCGGGAGGTCGTGGATTCTCCTCCTTTGGAGATTTTCAGGACCTGCCTGGACACCTCCCTGTGCAGCCTGTTGTAGGGAGCCTGCTTTGCAGGCTGGGTTGGACTCAGTGATCTCTAGAAGTCCCTTCCAACCCCTACAATTCTGTGATTCTGTGGTTCAGTGAATGTAAGGGACAATTAAAGTGAAGTCTTTATTAAATGTATCTTCTCTGGAAGTTGCAGTAGGTGAACTGAATACACAGTGGGACCTGGTTTTGAGCATGCCTCACCTAACCTATTCCTCCATGTCTAAAGGTGTCAATCACAAAGAACAGCATAAGAATTTACTTTTCATTTACACTGGTACACTCACCAGTGCAGATGGTTACTATAGCTCCACACAATTTCAAGGCCTTTGATGAATACCAGTGCCTTTTGGAATACTGAGAATTAGAGACAAGAGAAGCATGAAGTACTAAGAAAACTTTCAGACACAATTTTGTCTGAATGGACAGAAGGACTGATGAATCATGCTGAGACTATCCTATGTTTTCCTGCTGCCTACACTCAGCTCAGAATAAAACACAAAGATATCGGTCATGATGTGAGTGGTGTAGTGGCAGCTATTATTTGGAAGCAAATGCCAGCAAGGATAAACAACCTCTTTCCTAAGGTGAAATGTGGTCAAGCAATCAGAATAGTGGTTAAACGGCTATAGACATGCATTCCTAACTTGGTTCTGACAGGCTAATGACAATGACCAGTGGTAAATACCACTGCTGATTTGTTGCTATAACACAGTCTTCATTTTCTGCCATGCAGATCCTCATCAGGGCTATCCCAGTCGGAAATGCACATCAACTTGAATGGAAAGCAAAGGAGTTATGACTACCTCTCTATTCATTCAACTCAGAACACAATCAGTGGTGAGTATAATAATCATAGATACAGCCCTTCTCCATATGTTTGGTTTCAATAGTAGAGGACAAAATAAGATTCTATTTACGTATTAAAGAATAATCTTTTGCACTTCTTACTCTGTAAATTAATGCAGAGCTTGGTGGTTCAAGCTACTATATTTCCTTTCACTCCTCCTTTCATCAGGATGAGTGTTAAGGATTTTGATAATGAAATTATTCCATCAGTACTGCCTAAGGCTCCTCAGATAAGTAATTCAGTACACTCAAGACATTCACATGAGGCAGTCTTGAAGGCCATCATTCAGTTTGCAGTTGAGATATACAACTCAGCAAATGCTGCATGAGACAAAATAGGCTTTAGGTCCTTCCTCTGTTCGTGTGCTTGTGTGACAAAACTAACTGTAATAAGAAACACAAAGCACCTAATTTTCTTACAGAAGCCAGCTGTCCATAACTCATATACAAAGAGAGAAGGTTTATGGAATACAAAGCTATGATTATTTATCCAATCTGTTTTAAAGTTAGAACTGTCCTTTAAACACACTGTGGCAATTGTGCATTGTTAACTACTGTTAACATTACCGAAGTCATCATCACACTCAGTGCTGACTGGATTGCCAATTAGGCTCTGTAAGGCCTAAGGCTAGAGTTCCCAAAGGAATGCGTAGTAGATATTCTGTCCAGATAACCCTCATGTTCAATGAATGCTGCACGCCTGACTTTTTAGACAGCCTAATTTTAATAAAAATGCTGCAGATAAACAAGTACTCTCCAAAACGAAAATAGTGGGAAGAACTTACATTATGCCTTCCTGGTTCTACACACATCTTTTTCTAAAGAATGCAAACTCTGAAACACTGATTTGAACTTTCTTCTTGTATTCTATTGATTCAGAAGTAATGGTAATGTTGAAAGAAATAACAAAAATATATTCAATTGTTGATGCCTCAGTTTTGCATTCTACACGAATCTCCTGTCTTCTTCTGTCCTCATCTGCATTTATTCTAGCTGTTTTGTTTCTGCAGCCCCTGGATCACCAGCTGTCCAAAAAGAAGTTTTACTAAGTGGTCTAGAAAGAGAAATAATTTGTGTCAGCCTAAAACGTGACCCTAAAAATGGTTTTGGTAAGTAAGGAACATAAATTTTATATTTACTAATGGGTTTGTCAGGTCCTGGTGCAAACTCTGAGCAAAGTTTTAACCTTTTTCACCTCATTTATTCTCCTTATAGAATAAGAATACCAGTCTCTGCAAAGGACATAACATTTCAGAGACTTAAAAGAGCTGAAAGTATAAACCAAGTCAACAGTTTTTTTTCAGAGGATTAATTAGTATCATAGAGTTCAAGGGACAAAATTTTAAGAGTACAATAATAGAAATGAGGGAGTTATTGTTCTATAAACCCTTCACATATTGCCCGTGCGCATCCAAAATGCATAAACAAACTTCACATGAATATTTCTTGACTTCTGGATTCTTATTTGAATAACATTTTTGTTAAATAATACATTATCAGACTGCATCCTTTTCTAAGGGATGAATTCAGAGAACATGTAGATCCACAGTTGACCATTAATGCAATTAGACATCAGATTTTTAAGTGGCTCATGTGGCATGCCTTCATTTCCGTCACAATTATTCTGCCAGTGAGAAGAGTATTTTCTGCAGTAGGAAGAATATTTTATGCCAGGATAGAGAAATTAAGCTACTTAAAAATAAATTAATTTTCTTAGATGTCTCTTATACGTTCATTAGAAGTTTACATGACCCACCTCAGGAGGCTGTAGGCCACATAGTGTAAAACAACATTCTTATTTCTTTTTTATACCTTCTCTGGGTGTTACATAAATAGCTTCTAAGTCCTGTAAGAAACAAGTTGGAGTCTTTTGAAGTCCCAAGCCAGAAAAGTATTCTCACTGATATATTATATGTAGGTAGCAGCCACTGAAGTCACTAGCATGCTTAAAGTATAGCATGAGTTTAAAGATCACCCAGATCAGGACGTTGGTAACCCATTCTCCAGAATTTACAAAAAAAAACCCCAACCTTTATGCTATTGGAATAAGACCTCTTTGTGCTCCTGAGTTTCATCTTTTCTAATACCGCTCGTGTCTCTACATTGATATACTGCCTCGTTTTTGCAGGTTTTGTAATTATTGGAGGAGAAAATGTAGGAAAATTAGACCTCGGTATCTTTATTGCTTCAATTATCCCTGGAGGACCTGCAGACAGAGCTGGAAATATCAAACCAGGTCATTGTCTTTAGTTTTTAATTAGAATTAAAAAGCCTTCATGGTTTAAAGTTAATTATTCTGGGCTTATTTTTCTCTTCTGACGTGCATTGTCTTGTTTTTATTCTTTTTAAGGGGGACGACTCATCTCTGTGAATAATCTTAGTCTTGAGGGTGTTTCGTTCAATACTGCAGTTAAAATTATACAAAATTCTCCTGATGAAGTTGAGCTGATCATCTCTCAACCCAAAGGTATAAAGACAAACATCTTTGCTGGCTCTAGAATCCTAGCAATTTATTCAGGACACTGTAATTTATTAGGCATTAGAACGCAGTAGCACTTTCTTGCCACTCAGTGCAAGTTAACTGCTATAGGTTAGCAGTGAAAATCATTTTAGCGGGTATCGTGAGACCTCTGTTCTATAGTCAGCATGAAAAAATCTGGTCTATTGTGGGCTTTATTCTGCATTGCTAAATATCAAGGGAATTTTGTCATTTCTTTCTATGACAAAATTAGTTCTACAGCCCATCTCTGAGTCAGAATCACTGTCATAGTCCCTTGCAGTAATGAAGCAGGTACATTTCTCCATATGTAAAACAGCAGTGCTCCATTTCACAATGGCTAACTCATTTTATGGATCTCACAACTAGTTGATTTGGGAAGTTATTTCACCATCCTGTGTTGAGATACAGTGATACTTGTCTTCACATTTACTTACTGTTTACATTCATTGATGTCTTTTTTTGATATGGTTTTGCAGACATATACGAAGAAGGATTAAATGAAGAGAAGAGTATATCAAGGGGAAACAGCACTAGTGGTTCTGAGATCTCTTGTGTAGAGAGTGGAAGAAAAAAGATTCAAGACTGTTGTGCAGCTGTCCCCAAAGAACAGGCCGTAAATATAGATGAACTTGAGAAGGCTCTTTCTTGGAGTTTAGCACCAAAATTGGGCCCCAAGATCCCAGTCCTTTCAGCAGATAGCCTGGATGTGGAGGTAGCTGAGACTGTGATGTTATTTAATAACATTATGGCATGTGTCTTAACAACATGCCAGCCATATTAAGAATGGAAATAAGTGAGAAATTAAAAACTGAGGAAAAGAGACTGAAAACCTTGGAAGATGTTGCTTGTTAAATTACATTGGAATTGTTGAAATTATAGGTATGTTTAGGATGAGTGAAAAAGTGAAGGAACTGTTCCATAAAATATTACTAAAAATTGACTTCCCTCTTCCAGTGAACTATAAAATTTTATTGTTTTCTTCCACTTCTCTTTAAGTTTTCAGCCATCCACTGAAAAATAATATTTTATGTTTAATATTCTTCTATCAAACAGCCTCCCTATTTATATTCATTTTATGTACATTTAGACGGATATTATTTTAGGTAACAATAGTGTAATCCTGAAATAATGTCAGGGATATAAATGCTACCATTCCATGCTTACAGTGAAAGCAGGATTGAACTTCTGTATCTTCTGGAAATCTCACTTTCTTTATTATTTCCCCCCCCCTATTTATTTATTTATTTATTTTCCCTAAGACACAAAAGTCTCATTAGTGTTTATATTTTTGAGACAGGAGGCTGATTCATCACACTTACAACCTCCAGCTGAAACCAACTCAAATGAAACGTACACTGTGGAGCTTGTTAAAGAAGATGGGACTTTTGGAATCAGTGTGACTGCAAGTGTTACTGTTAATCTTTCACTGTGTCTTTCAAACTATAACATGAACAAGAAACATGTAGAGAAGTGTATTTATGTGGAAGAAAGGTAGAATATAGGCCAGTAACAAGAACTGCTAGCACGGCACATTTCAAACCTAAGTGCCTGACTGACAGAGGATATAGCACCAGCTCTACTCATTCCCCAGTTCTTGCCCACAGAATGTGTGTGTGTGCCAGCATAAAGCATATGGAGATACAAGACCTTTCCCACCTTGCTTGATTTGAGAACAAGTCCTGCCAGTGAAAGTGGAGTTTTGTCAGGAAGGAGTATAGCCAGAGTCTCTAGAAAATGCAGTAATACAAAGGATCCCTTGGGTCTTGACTGGTTCTCCTCTGGGGTTCCTGGAATTCGCAGGCTGTGTCTGTACAAGCAGATCACATAGGACTATGGGACAGGCTCAAGTGCTACCTACAGTCACTACTTAATTTTTGACACGCTGACCAGTATGAACAGCCATCCCATACTGGGGGGATGAAAGCTGAGTTGTATGGACTTAAGATAAGCTGTTTTTTACTACAAATGCCTGACTGATTTTATTTCTAAATAAAATAAATCAAAAATATATCTCTCTGTATATTTAGAGGATCAGAGAAAGAAACAGTGAAAGCTGTATGTGCCACATTCAAAAAATAATTCCTTGCTCTGACTATCAAGACTGAACTTACCTCACCAGGTTGAGGTGCCTACAATCCTCACTGAAATGGAGTTAGAAGCAATAGAATCATTGCTTAACCAGAAACAGAGGGCTCATTTTTCATCTGAAATTTACTAGAGGATGTAGAAGAACAGAATAGATTAATATGGAGTTCCTCTGTACTGCAGGCTCTTGAGTGTCTGCACAAGGTCGAGTCCAAGCTTTATACATTGTCTGAAAGGCCAGAAGTTGCTGAATACATATTGCATAGTTTAGAAACTGGGATAGAGGCTGACTGAATGATGCAACCAGATCTCTGCAGTAGCACAGGAGAAGTGCGTTGCATTTTCCTGAGAATACAAAGCATGATTACTCCCTAGGGAAGTACATCACAACTAGATGGGACATCAGAGTAACATCCTCTTTTTTTTCTCTATATTTCTAAAATGTATTTTCTGAAACAGTTGCTTTGCAATGCACATATAAGTTGTTTTTATTTTTATCAGGGGAAGAATATGTGGAGATTCCACACACTAACATATGGAAATATGCTTTGCAGGGTGGAATTAACACTAGCGTGCCTCATGGTGGAATATACGTGAAGTCAATTATTCCCAGGGGACCGGCAGATAAGGATGGACAAATAAAGATAGGTAAAAAGTCTGGCAATGAAACCCTGGGCTGCAGAGTTAGGTGTTTGTGTGAAATACTTGCTACAGGATGATGAAATTGTTTGGGATTGAGGGCTATACAACTGCAAAACATTATATGCAGTCCATAATTCCCCAGCCTATCACTGTAGTTTATGTGGAAATTCCACTGAGAAACCTGGAGTCTCATACCAACATTGCACAGCTTCCCTCTGTTGCTGCAGTTCAAGGTAGTGACTCAGACATCTACTGTTGCTGAGATAAGCACTGCATCACTTTACAGAGTACCCTGGTATGTTTGCAATGTTAGTTACAGAATACCATTCAACAAGCAGTATTGCTTTCAAGCAAAACAACATTATTTGAAGCATGTAAGCATGAAGATCTAACACAATGTGGGTAGCCTTAAGATTTCCATCCAATCTGAATCATCAGCGCAACCATCACTCGTTATTTTTGTTTCCCTCAGGTGATCGTCTGCTGGAAGTAGATGGAATCAGCCTCTGTGGCCTCACACACAAGCAGGCTGTGGAAAACCTTAAGAAATCTGGACAGGTTTGTGTAACAGAAAAGCATTTGCTCAATCAAATAAGCTGTACTTACTATGAAGCACAGTAGCAAAGCTAGGCCAGTGTGAAACTCTTTCCCCTCCCTGAAGCTTTGGCTTACAGTAAATGGAAACTGTTCTTCATTTTTTTAGGTTGCCAAGCTGGTTCTAGAAAGGGGACACCATCAAGAAGCAGAGCCATGCCTGAGTACTAACGACAGGAAAAAGGACCAATGTGCAGTGGTTTCTGTGGCAACATCCTTCACAGATGGCAGCAAGGATTACTGCTTTTTGACAGATGGTAAGAGAGGAAAAAAAGAATTCAGGGTGACTTTTGCTGGCTACTTACAATGGGCAAGAATGAAACAAATGAAAATTGTTCTAGGATATTTCTATAGGTTGGAAGGAAAATAGCACACCAAACAAAAAGACAATATGTAGTATTAAAAGCATTATCAAATTAATTCTAAAAGAAAAAAGTCCTCATATTTACAGCTGATGCATGCAGTTGAATTTTTCATAGACATGAGTACTATATCTCTCAGCCTTCCTGAGATGGGGCTGTCAGGGTACATTCCTTTCTATACTCTCACAGCACTCTCAAGCAGCAAGCAGCTGTACTGATATTGCTCGGCTGTTACCCAAGGGCAGCATGGCTAGTATACCTGCTGATGTTGTGTCAGGAGTGAAGTAGGGTGAACTATTGCCCCACAGCCAGGATTGGGAGATGCCATCACTTCAGTTCTTGAAAGAAGATTCAGAGGTCATTTTCACTGACTTTATCCAACAAATGCCCTCTCTTTTATTGTAAAGTTGTCCCATAATCACCACCATACTTTACCATAGGGCAGTTGCTCCTCCAATTTGTCCCCTGCAGAAAGAAGTTCGAATGCAGGTATGATTTTTGGGAAATGGCTGGTCTGTCCATCTTGTCTGAAAAGAACAGTAGCTCTGTTTCTAGCTTATGCTGGTTTGTGCAACTCCTGAATTAACATCAGACAACTATGGAATAGTAAGTCCTACTCAAAATCTGCAGAAGAATGTCAGAAATGGATAGGGCTTGAACTTTTTTGGTATAAACTACTACTTCCTTTGAGGGCTTGTACCAGATCTCATACAGTCCATGGCCACATGGTGGAATAGAATCCAATTCTTGCCAGTCTGCCTATCTGAATTTTAGGGCTCATGCAAGCTAAAGGAAGAATAAAACCACCTTTTGTTATTAGCATCAGAAGATATAACTCAGCAGCACACAGGGAAAAGGTCTGTGGAGAATATAATATATACAGTTTCTTATATACAAACTGAGCTCACTCTTTTTCCTATCCATCCTCTGAACAGAGAATACTTTTGAAGTCAAATTGACAAAGAATTCTGGAGGCCTTGGCTTTAGTGTTCTTCAGATGGAAGAAGAAGTCTATGAATATTTTGGAGGAGCTATTGTCAGAATCAAAAGGCTGTTTCCAGGGCAGCCAGCTGAAGAGAATGGAGAAATTGAAGTTGGAGACATCATTTTGGCTGTGAATGGGAAATCTCTTCAAGGACTCTTGTATCAGGTACAACTTACTACTGTCCCTGGGCCTCCTGGTGGGTAATGCGCTAATAAAGACAATGGGATGAAATTGCTTTTAAACTTCACTATCACCAGAGGGGGGCAGAATTTGCATATAATGATTTTGATTTTTATGTAGAAGACTTCTCTAGAATTCATATGGAGAATTCCCTTTGTAACATAATTGTTACAGAGAATATTTTTTGCTATTTAATTTCTAGCTTTCCACTATTGATGCACAAAATCTATTGTTAGACGCACACTGGTTGTTAATTAGTTGGAATCTTTGATGCTCTTATGCATAACAGAAACATTATTCCCTATGGTCATTTGTTTTATAACATCATCCTAAATATCAGTGCCTCAGATTCTAACCTCTATCAGCTGAGGTAAGTCTAGGGAAATTTTTTTGCCTGGAATGAGCAATTCTGTTCTCACATGAAGAAATTAAATGGTAAAAAAGGATTATAAGAGAATTTATTTCTTAGTAAAAAGACATGTATTATTGACTGGGAAAAAAACTGTATTCTGTAAGAAATCTAATGTTCCTTTGTCCCGATTAGGATGTCCTGCACCTGTTGAGAGGAGCTCCTTCAGAAGTCACGCTACTTCTCTGCAGACCACCAAAAGGTGTTCTTCCAGAAATTGAGCAGACTGCCCTGGTAAGTTAAAGGTTCTGCCAGTGAACTTGCCTCAGTAATCCTGGAAAAACACTACTACCTTGCCTATCCAGCCTTGAATAATGCAACCTTGCCTTTCCTCTACAGTATCCAATTCCATTCCTTTCTCTTCCCATCTGCAACTCAACCTCTAGAGTTCAACTGCAACCAAAATAGAAATTTGACAGACCTGAAATATATTTATCCCAGTGCAACAACTTTTGAGTTGCAGTACTGTCAATGAAGTGACAAAGTACATGCCCAAACAGATCTTCTAAAAATGTTGCTTCTAAAAACATTCCACTAGATCCTCAGCCATAAGCTGCAGATACTCTCAACTGCAGCCATTGTAATCTGTGGGTTTGAGGTAGCATTATTACTCACCAAAGTGGGAGGAAAACAGAGCTTTGTTTCTTAACAAACATAAATAAATGAACTGAGGTTTTCAACTGGTTATTTGGTTTCTTACTGATATCTACAAAAAAAAACAAGAAAAAAAAAAAAAAAAAAAAACAGAACAGAAAACAAACAAACAAACAGAAAAAACAACCAGGAGCAACTGTAATAGAGAATAAAGGTAATTTTATTATTCCTACTATTCATGGATATGTGCACAAGTACTCTCCTATCATGAAAATGCATTTGCTCTATGCAGAATGGCCTGCTCCTGGTTATTGTCTGAGCAGGACCTATAAGTGTTGTCTATGGACAGATAGAAATGACCATCAGAATCATCTCCAGAAAACAAACCAGTTGATAATTCCCCTGCAACTTCTTTGGTTCTTAAAGAAAAGGAAAAAAAATTATAGTAAATTTTCTGTGTTTGTTTTATAGACTCCAGCACCATCTCCAGTTAAGGCATTTATGGCAGAGATGCCAGGCAGTCCAGAGGCAGGAAATAGTTTGGACCCATCTACCAGTGATGGAGGTAGCACCTCTCAAGACCTCGAAGACTGTTTGGATTCTCCATTGGCAGCAGATTTCGGTGAACCTCCTGATGAGGAGAGCTCAACCTATGAAGAGCAGGAAACGGAGTCTCAAGAGAATCCCACCCAGAGACTTATGCCTCCCAGGGAAAGTTCCTATAAGGATCTTTGGGAGTTTCATCAAGAAGCTGCCAGTTCTGAAGAGTTTCACTCTCTAGAGGAAGAAGTGAAGCAGAACTGCTACTCGCCTTGTGAGCTAGAATGTGCTGAAAAGTAAGCAATACTGAAATCTGCCCTTTCCTTTGGTTCTTACAGTTTTGAAAGTAAATTGCTTAGAGTTAAGTAGGGGTCTCTGCTTCTAGCTACTGCTGATTAATGAAAAATTTGCATTACCGTCTTATTCTGACTATCTTAATCTGCTCTGCTTACTCTCATTGGAATTTTGAAGAAATCCACATTGCAAAATAGTTGAGTGCTGTGCTAGTGCAATCATTTATGTTGTTCAGCTGAAGCTGGCTGCATTTTGAAATCAGTGGAAAGACTCTTGTTGACATAAAAATGAACCAAAAATTTTCTTATTTATTTTGTGATCTTTGAATTTTCTCAAAGTTCATTAAAGTAGGCACCAAGCAGTTCTTACTGTATGATCTCTTAATTTCAAATTTTTCCAGAGAAAATTAAAACAGTCTGAAGACAAACTGTGATCATGGAGAAAAAAAAAGTTATTTTCCTGTCTTCAGAAGCAAATAGAAGCCCTGAGCCAGAGGAATTATGCAATAAAATGCAGTGAAAATTGACTCAGCCTCCTTTTATACTGTTTTATACCAGACACTGGCATTCAGAAGATGATCCATTCCATTTTTCTCAGCACAAAGATAAATTATCAGAACAGAAAGGATTGATGGAAATAAAAATTAAATGCCTCACATAAACCTCTAACTTGTAGCTTTTACAATTTTCTCTAGAAACTCATTTCTAATTTTTCACACACTCATTTGAATCTTTTTTTTAAACTTCTGACATCTAGCAAGCTCAGAACTAGTGAATCACATATTCCAGACATTGCTGAGCCACAGTACTGAGTGACTGCAAGTCCTGTGGGACCATAACTGCTATTTGTGCTTCTAGTTCCTCCCTAGTGAGAAAATAAATTTCACTCAAACTCATAAGTGAAGCATGTACAGTTTTCTACTGCTGAGATTAAAACCAGCAGAAATATGTCTGTAGCAAACACACTTGCCAAGAGATACAGTTTCATCAAAACTGAGTTTCTTGTGGGAAAATATCAACTGAAAGAAAAATCTTGGATTATTCCCAAGAAAGAAGTTCTGAAATAATTGTTTTTGTTTGCTATATCTCAGCATCATTTAGTTTCAGTTTTTGCATTTTCAAAAGGCAGACAGAACAATCCGTGTATCTCAAATAGTATTTTAAATGTAACCTCAATTTAAATGACCCTTCCATAGATATAAGCTAATATATTGAAATAGGCATTAATGAAACGTTTCCCCTTTCTTTTCTTCAGGTTGCTCAACACTTTTCATGCAAACATAAAAGCTTTCTGATACAACTTCTAAAAAGTTTCCTGCTCAGGGTGTCACATGGAAAATTTCTTTTACTCTTCCTATTGCCAAAAAAAAGAAACTTCAACAAAACTACTTTGAAGAATTTCACCCCATAGTTTTCCCATAGAAGTCCAAACTGGGGGATCACCCAGACTCCAAAGGCTAAATCTAGCATGTCAGTGCACATTGTGTGTGGTCCAGTAGGACCAAGACTCATGCGTTCCTCTTGCTGATGCAGAGATGGGCTAGAAGCTGTGCTGTGATTAGGCCACTGCTGGCTCACTGCCTTGAGCTTGTGTAGCTCTGCCAAATATCTTTCATATTTGAAGGTCAATCAGCACATCACTGGTATGTGACAGTTTCTGTGACACACTCCTTGACAAGGTTCATTGAACTTAATCCTTTATTTCCTGTCACCTGAAGAAAGGAGCTGACTGTATTTGTTGTTATCCTTAAACATTTGTGTTAAATATACCCGTCTTCTTTCCCAGTGTTGTACATGTCTTCAGCTATTAAAGTTCATAAGCTTCCAGTTTCACTATCAGCTTTGCTGTGCCACTGAAGATATACAACTCATTTCTTCCCTGCATCAGTACAAGCTATCAGAGTAGACAACCCCTTGCACTGAATATATAGCATGAACCTGACAGTTTTTCTTGTCTTAGTCAACGTTTTAAAAATACCACTGGAGGTTATTAGCTATATGCATCCAAAAAGCATGTTTTTCTACTTTTCTATACTTTCCTTTTGACTATAGACAACTTTTGAAACAAGAACTTAACACTGAGGATCTTTTGTGATTTCATACCAGACATGTAGAATGAGAATAAAAGCAGCAAAGAATGTGGCTGAAAGCTATTTTTCAAGAAGAAAAATGCACATATAAAAATGGTAATAGTGCTGCGGTGTGCATATCGCTTATCAGATAAGGTAATTGTTTATGACAGATGAAAGAACTAATGGTCAAGGAATTACCCAATTACTGTTTTAAAGAAACATCAAAAGTGCCTTAAAAAGAAAGTGTGTAGGATTTTGTGGGCTGAAAGCTTTTAAAAGTTTTTAAGAGCTCTGCAAAAGGTTGATTACTTCCTCTTTGTTTTATAGTAATACTTGGAAGACCGAGGCAGCCATTTAATACCATAACTAGTATGCTACTTAAAATCATGATGTGTATAAGCAGTAGATTTTCCAGTGGCCGTCTAATAAAGGATATGGAAGAAAATTCTAGCACTACGATCTCTTTGTTTTCCAGCCCTGTGTTTAATAAGGGTGATGGTGATGTATCAAACAGGAATTGTATGTCTGAAATTCTCTCTCTAACCCCTATTGATGAAGAGTATCTCACCATCAGCTCAACATCTGTGACCTCATTTTCAAGAGGAGGAAGCTCAGAGACTGTCTCCACAAACTTGGTGACCCCACAACCACGTGTCTGTGGCCCTTTCTCATCATCCCTGACTGCTAGAGACACGCAGAACAGTGACAATGAATGGGAAGATATGGAGGAAGAGAAGGAGGAAAAAGAGGATTGCACTAGGGTACGTGATTGGCATGAGATTATTAACAGGTAGATAATGACATGGGAAATGTGACAGCTTTATGAATGTGTCATTCTTAAAAAAATTGGTTTTAACTCATTATCTATGCTATATCTGCATGACTTTTCTCGCTTTCCAGAAATGTCCAAATTTTACTGTATGCCCAGCTCTACAGAACGCTTTACCGTTTCCTTTATGGTTATTTCCTTGCTCTTGAAATTCCTACTGTTTTAACTTATCATTGTTCTGCAGTATTATTCCCAGTGCACAGAGGCCTAAGACTTATCCTTAAATTAATGGGTGTCAGCTATTCCGTAATTTTTGCCATATTTTAAACTCATGTGGAAAATCACTTTGTTACAATACTACTATTGTAAAGTTCCAATAAGAAACTCCTATACTAATTACTATCCAAAATATAGGGATCAGTCCTGCCAAAAGCTGAACATCTTGCATTCCTGTTGATGCTAATAAGCTCTGAATTCCTACTAATTCGAGAGCATTGAGAATAAAATTTAGATCCAACTATTTGCTTTAGTGGGAAAGCAATAGCAATAGCAACTGAAATCTCTGAACTCTGTTGTAATGTTTGTCAGATCTGAGGACTCCATGACATTTTATATACTTAAAATGCCAAAATGTCAGTTCCTGATGGCATTCCATGCCTTATTAGGCCCTGTCAATCAATCACCGTGAAGCTGAAGTATAAAGAGGTATGAAGAAATAAAATTAATTCTGGAACAATAGCAGTGATAGACCAGAGAAATCCTTACATATGCTGCTTATTTATACCATCTGAACATCTGATTCCTATTTGCATATAAAACATAATGGAAAATGTTAATGAAGCAACAGAAAAGCCTACATCAAACATATCTTGTGTTTGCTTTAATAGGAAATGGAGGTCTTTGTGACTTTGACAAGGTTAGAGAACAATGGTTATGGATTCTCAGTGGTTCTTAACAAAGTGGACAACTGTCTTTATGTTGATGAAATCTTGCATGAGCCTGCCCTGTCAGATGGAAGGCTAAGAAGGGGAGACAGAATCGTTATGGTACAGTAATCCTTTGAATTTAAACAGGGGGGAAAGTATGTGCAGGTCAATGTCATTTAGCTTTAGTAATTTTCCTTTTATAGGGCCTAGTTTATCACATTTATGCATGCAAATGCAAATGAATCATATAATAAATATAATTCCACTGACTTCAGTAGAATAAACTTTAGACTGAATAGATTGTATGACCAGGCAAAACCCAAGAATCATCTAGCAGTAGTGCAGTACAGCTGAGACACTAAATGTCTTCCTTAATAAGTGATATAAACTGCACTGATCTGCACAAAAGATGCAGTGTCCTGTGTAATGTGTGAACAAAACCTGTTTTGAAGTTCATCTTCATTTCATTAGACTTGCCTTCCTTCATTTTTGCTACAGGACTTCAAGTTTCAAGGAAAAGAAGATACTTTTATGAAGATAAAATATTCAGGAAAACAAAAGTTCAAAAGCAAATCTTACTGCAATTGTAATTTTTTAACTGTTGCATGCATTCACAGACATTAGGTGCCATAGCAAAGCAATGATATGAGAATGAAAACTAATTTAAGCTCATATTGCAATATTTGGAGTGGAGGAAAAAGTATGATGACAGTCAGTGAGATCTATGGTTTGTCATTCAGGTGAATGGAATTGATGTCACATCTTTACAATGCAATGAAGCCCTGAGTTTGCTGCAGAGCTCTCCTCCTGATCTGCACCTTGTGGTTGGTCGTGCTGGCAGCGATCCACGTCCTTCTATTAGGCCAGATGACATTCCTGAAATCACTCTCACAAAAGGTGCCAACGGACAGCTAGGTGTGTAGTAAGTACTATGCATACTATTTTAGACAAAGATTATAGTGGTGATATGATAATTGTAGGGCAATTGTGGTCTTGGATCGTGCTCTCCTCCATCAACATGACAATGGGTTGGAGAACTTTCTTTTCAATAGAACCATAAAGGGAAGACAACTCTTATTAGACAAATCAAGCTATTGGAAGCTGAAGCTATATCTGTATGATCACACTATCAGCTGAAGTTTCTACCGTATCTTCAGTCTCATATTTTTATGTTATTGAAATACAAAGAGTTGCTAGAAATTGTTGATAGATGATGAATGTCTGCTACCTGCTGATATGACTAAAGTTCTATTTGGGAAAAAAAGGAGAAGGATGAGCTACTAGTTAGGGCAACAGCCTGGCATTCAAAAAAACTGCTTAAATGCTTGATTCATCAAAGACATGAAGTTTTATTTATCTACACTGTGCAATGCAAGCAATAAAAGAAATCCCCACAGTATGAATATCTTGTTATTACTGGAGAATGCAGTATGTACTGCACACAGATACAATTGTGGACAGAGGAAATAGCATAGTTATCTTTACTTTGATACAGGATCCTGTTTCCAGTTCAGAAACTAGTTTGTTTGGAAACTACTGGAATATCATTGCACCATGCTGCTTTGTACTGGTTAGGTACCTCCTTATCTGTCCTGCACTTTCATTCCCTGCTTATAAAATGGGAATGATAGCACACCCTACAGAAGACATTGCAAAGCACTTATGTACTGTGGTAACGAGGGAGTCTTATTCAAGTACATATTTGACATTAGCTGAAACAAAGCACCACGGAACAGCTGAAGAGTATAGATGGACAACACTGTTTAAGTTTTTTAATATTTTGTGAACATCTAATCACATGTCACTCTTGCTTTCTTACTGGGGGAAAAATGCTCTTTTGTTCATCAGTGTTTTGTTCAGTCTATCTTTCAATGACCCTCATATATTCCATCAGGATGCACTGACAATGAAATTCAAAACATGCTGCCACAAAAGACTTTTTATTATCTGCATTATTCTAGGCTTGAAGCTGACAGGAGGAGCTGGAAGCAAGCTACAAGGTATTTATGTTCTAGACATAGTGCCTGGCTCTCCTGCCAGTGTGGAAGGCAGTCTGCAGCCACGAGATCAAATTCTGTACATCTGTGGGCTGTGGACTGAGGGCATCAGCCTGGATGATGCAGTAAGAGTGTGCGAAGCTGCCACCCAGAATGTCCAAATCAAAGCAACCAGGTAAAACGAAGCAGACAGATGGAATCTGAGCATTCACAATTTCAGTCCTAATGTTAAAGCAGGCTTTTAGTTCTTTTATTAGCAAGTCAAAAAATAAAACCAAACAAGAAAAATGCTGTACCTCACAGGTCTGAAGGTGCATCCTGGTACACGACACCCATAAGGTATCTTAATTCTTTGTAGTTAAAGCTAACACAGGAAGATGTGAATGTAGGTGAACTCACATGACATGCATCATAACTCATCGAACTTCATCATCGAAACACAAATGTGAATCCTTTAACTGCCTCTGTTGGGAACCTCTGAGTTACTTTCAGTGGTGAAATATTTAAGAAAAATGCTGAAAATCCAGCAGTTATTCCACAGTACGTGATAAAATGTTCATCCCCAGGCTGCTCAGGAACATACAGCTAAGAATTCCCCTTCATCACGCTTTATGTTTATTTCATTTTGCAATCTGACAGAGCTCTGGACCGATACCAAATCAGCCCCTTAAGGTCTTAGAGCAACAGTCCAAACAGTAACCCCAAAATATGTAAATTACTAGGTTACACAATTAGATTTAGTGATAGTGTGTTCATCACAGCGATCTTGATGTCCAACAAACATTTATCAGTGTTTTATTAACTTGCATTGTGTTAGCAGGTGAAACCCAGCCCTGAAGAAGTTTAGTACTGCAACAGATATTATAACATATTCCTTCGTTCTTAGACCAATTTAAGTAAAATATTTCATTGTTATTAAGGACAGTGTATATTTATATACTGATATAAATGCTCTTTAGAAAAGCACCATTAAGTATAACAAAATCTTAGAAATACAACTTAATTAAAAATTGACTTTTTCAGAAATAGCTTTCATATGTGCTTTTAAAAACATGCAGCTCTTAATGGCTCACATATTGCACTTTTCTGCCTCCAGAAATGGCAATCCTGTGGTCCCTATAGAGCAAGAAAATAGTAAGTAAGGCTAAAGTTTTTTGGATTTGAGCTCAAGATTTTCTTCTGATTTTAGTATTAATTTGTTATTGATTCATTGCATTAAACAGTTATTAATAGATTGTAACTTGGCATTCAGTATTTCTGTTAAGAATCTGGAGAAAAATGGACAGCTTTTTACAGAGAATCAAAGTGTGTATTTCTTTTCAAAAAAAATTTAAAATTTTATCTATACTTGTATTTTGTGCAGTCAGCTTATTTTTATTAATTTGCTAATATTTAATGGGAATTTCATGGTTATATTCAACTTCTGGTTTGATTAAATCTATTCTGCAATATTTTTCCAGAGAATTTGAGCTTTAAATATGGTGCCATAACTTAACCATCCTGGACTGACTTTTTAAACTGATATCAATAACAAAAATGGGCAGAACCACAATCTCTTTAATTAATAAAGGAGCCTATCAGGGGGCTACAGTTATTGCTCTACTTTATTTCTCTAGTAAGATCTGTAGATTCCAGGAGATTTCTCAAGACGCTTTATCTATGATCCAGCTCTGATGCAGATTTATTAACTATACAGTGAGATGGTTCTCGGCCTTGAAAAAAAAGATTCTTAACTTTTGTAAAGCACTGCAAAAATATACAGTTATTTGTTGTTTGATATTCTGTTCGTGACCATCTCTAGTAGAAGCCTTCATTTAATGTATTCTCTTAGTTATAAAAATGCATACTGAAATGGCAAATGCAACATAGAATTAAGAAAACAAAACAAAACAAAACAACACAAACAGCAGAACATATTATGTTATATAATTCATACCTTAAGAGAATTTTCTGGAAGACAAATGAGATCATCTATATATGACAAAGCAAAACTCAAAAGTAAAGATCAGGGCAGGGTGGAAATCAAAGCCAAATCATTGTCTTCTTGTACAGATAGCTCTGCAGACAGTGATAGAACCTCCTTAATCCTCTGCCTAAGCACTGCCACATGTCTGGAATGACTCACTCTGATCTCCAGTTCTTGTTATCATTTTAAAAATAGCAACAAATGAGATGTAATACTTCTGCAGCTCAGGAAACTATTATTTGTATCACTGTGCAACTCAGTAAACTTAATCATGCAGTAATAACTGTCTCACACTGCCTCATACAGCATCAATATTGGATATTGATGCTTTGTTTCGTGATCTAAGAACAGAATTTACATTCCCTTGCGTACATGAAGCTGAGTGGGAGGCCTGTCAGAACAAACCTCCATGTATGCTTTTAGGGCTGCCTGCTGAGACAGAGAAAGACGATACTTGTCTCTCAAATGAAAACCTGAATTCCCAAGAGCAGCATCTACTAAGCCAACACGGTAAGGAACTTGACTTTTCTGGTAGAGTTTAAAAAAGGTTTAGTCCTCTCTATAAATGAAATTGGTAGGTGGTGCTGGAAATACTGGGGAAAGATTAATTGTTAGTAAGCAATTCTGTATCCCTCAGAGTCTCAGAGAATGCAAGTACATCATCTGTTTTCCAGCTGGTGTCCCTGATCCTGTAACACGCAGCTCCTAAAGCTTGTTTAGGAAACTGCTCTCTGGGAGGCAAAAGGTTCACATGAATCATAGGCAGAATGCTCAGTTCAGGAGTACTACAAAAGAAGCAATGTACATAAGCCCAGAGGAAATTTTACACATCAAATATGAAATGTTTTATTATGTCTCTATCATATTGAGTGTTATACCACAGAACCATATTTCAGTGGTGAAAACCGTTCTGCTTTTTCACAGAGAAACATTTGAAGGAAACAAATTGTGAAGCTCAGCAAAGCACTCCCAGTTCTCCAGAATGTAAGGTAAGGGGCAGTTTTATCAAGCATGAGGTGTTCCATCAAGTAAAGTGTGCTATAGTGACTGAGATTTTTTCAATAGTGGCATTTAATGTATTTACTTCATCCCCAGTTTCTCTTAAAATGTGAACACAGTTGCTCTGGAAAGCATACCGTGAAGTTTTGAACTGCCTCAGCATGCACTCGTCCTGTGTGCGCTCAGCACCTCCAGTGGTTAGGCCCCTCTCTTGCTGGTTTTCTATATAGTATTACTACCTTAACATCTTGATAATGAAACCAAGATCCACAGGATGTAGCCCCTCCATTAGGTCTTCATAGTACTCTTAATAGCTTGCAAAATTAACTCCTAGCTTAGAAAGAAAGTTGTGCGGGAAAGAGAGATAGAATGCCACAGTGTAAGATACTGGGAAGAATAAATGTGAAAGTAATGAGGAAGTATGTCCCACAACAAATCAAAACATTCATTGAAACTTGAGACTCATGTTTCAGTATGAAATACTGAATCTGAAAAGAGGATAAAATTACTCCAAATCTTTAGAGTATTTTCAGTGTTGACATACATCAGAGTGGTTTGGATTTACAATAGCTAGTGAGAGTAACTGTATTTTTGAAATAATAAATTCCCAAAATACACAGGTATGTTCAGGGGGAAAAAATCAATTTCCACGTTCAGCATACAATGCTTCAAACGTCTCACAAGTGCAAACATTGCTTTTGTTTGCGCAAATATGTGGAAAGTAATATTGCTTGGAATTGCCCGCTTTGGGACTGATATTTCATGAAAATAGATTTATTCATTTTCTCTTGGCTGGGGCTTACAAGAAATGGCTGTTTCTTGTTAAAATTAGACCTCCAACCTGGAAGAAAAATTAGAACCATTTTCTGGCTTTTGATTAAGTCATCTCTATTACTGCTTCTTCCACACCATTTAATCCATGATAGCTTGTCTGTTCAACTCACTGAAATAATTTCTGAGGATGATACATACATCACTGGAACCAGTCATGCTGCAAATCATAACAATTTCTAGGTTGCTGCTCTTTCCGACGTAATGCTTGACCCTAAAAAGGCTGCTGATTATAAAAGTGAATGACGTGCTAAAGCCAAACAGAGAGGTACGTTGGGGCTGCAAGGTTAAGACTTGCATTACAGAACAATAAAAGAATGGAGGACATACTGAGTTAGCGTCACACTTGAGATAAAAGTGACTGGCTTGTCAATGAAGGTGATGTATTTGATGTATTATGAAAGGGTTACATAAGTACATGTTTTCTTATTTTTATGAGATCATTTTACTCAGTGGATAGTATTAATAGAGCTTATGGAAATAAGGATGCACTACTTTCATTCTGATACGTCCATGTAGATGCTATAAATCAGTGGAAACTCTATGTACCCATCCAAGACAAGGACATATCCCACAATTTATATCAGCCACAAAGGATTGTAAAGCACAATATAATTCTTTCGTATTAAAAATGAACATGAAAAAAGCGCCCTGAGTAAACTCCACCTCTTACTGTGTCATTTTGTATTGTAGGACTTCATTATTAAGATAGAATTGGAAAAAGCAGAAAATGGAAGCCTAGGATTTGCGCTGGTTGGCGGCAGAAATGGCAGGGCTATCCTAATAAAAGCCATCAGCCCAAACAGTATTGCAGATCTAGATGGGAGGCTTCAAGTTGGTGACATCTTACTTAAGGTAGGGTTTGCTCTTCGTCATTTTGGTGGTGTGCTCTCATGGTATAAAGATGCAAAGAGAGGGAGATCAAGGAAGTTACTAATGCAGAAAGGAGAGAAGACTCACGAGTTGCAGAGATGTATAAAATGCGCTCAGTACTGGGATATGTGTTAAAAAAAGCTTTTTGTTAAATAAATTTGGAATTACTTACTGTGTATTTTTCAGGTAAATGAGACTTTAGTATCTGGTCTACCACGCCAATCAGTTATAGATTTGCTGCGCAAGGCTCAAGGCACTGTTCAGCTCACTGTCTGCCGAAGCGTAGCTTCACGTTGGGCTTACTCAAGCAACCAGAGAAACAGCATACCTTCCCCTCCAAACACAAACACAGAGCCTGGTAAGCAGCTAAATCCATTAAATACATATTAAAAGTGGGATTATGTCTGGACTCAATTTTTCTATTGGTAAAACAACTGAATAACTTTACCAATAACTCTAACGTTACTCCCGATTCATAGCCCTAGCCACAAAAAAGTTCTTTCAGCGCTGGATAAGCTTTCCAAGACATAAGAACATAGGGAATGATGCTCAAGACTCTCAGAAATGTTTAAACTCATATTTATGATGGTTTCTGGTGTGTGCTGATTTTAGCTAGTTTTATGCAAATCAGTGGTAGGTTTGTAGCTGGAGAGAAGGTGCTGTACATCCTGAGCAGCTGAGGTCTTTGGGACAGCTAAACAAGGACTGTCAGAAGCTACTGGAAAAGGTATGGTTATTCATAGTTATCTTGATGAATCTGAAGTAAATAAAGGGAGTGCATTATTTAAAATTTCCTATTTCTTTTCCAGCAGTTTGGAATTGAATGGTCTACCAATATTATATTACTGAGTCTCAAAGACTCTCTGTGTGAGGATGACAGAACTGTGCTCAGTTCAGGTGTGAAATGAGGATGTTCACTGTCCCATTTCAGTTCTAGTTTGATTTTGAGGGTAAATGATGCCAAAATGGGAAGGTCATCCAGATATAAAAAGGCTGATTAAACTTTTAGCAACGTTAGTGGCTGTGAAAATATTCCCATCCACTGCAGTAAGAATAGGCTTTTCTCCAGTTCTTCAAATTCAAGGAACTAGCTGTGGAGATGTGCATTGGGGTCTCATGTGACATTTGTGAATTAGACTGTTACTGTGAAGTTTAAACTCTTTTCCCTGGACCGATAAAACACAATGCTATTATGTAAGAACTGTTATCATAATAAACCTATATTTGCCTATTTAGTGCTGTAAAGGAATAGGCTGAGTTAGGGAAGTTTATCAATTCTGTTGTAGGTTTTTTACAACTCCTACTGATAGTGGGTATACTTCACTATCTTCTGGTCACCTGAGATATTCTGACTTCTTCAGTGGTTATATATGGAACTTTTGCTGTTTTTACCCTTACGAGAGCATCTAGAAAGAAGGGTATTTTGTGTTAGTTTGGGGCAACATATCTCAAGTGCCTCTTCCAAAACCAAAGTCCTCTGGTGTGGGTGCTACTGAAGGAATGGATCTGTATTTTCACACTTTAGGCATTTAAATTTCTTTTTCTGGTATTCAGATGACCACAGCATTGAGAGAAGCCTAGAAGCTCAATCTGTTTTCACTTTGAAGGAAGAATCCAACTGGATGTGCAGCAAGGTGAAGTCTGAATTGAGCTTGTAGAAGTTATCAGGCAATGTACTTGTTTGTAAACAAAAATGGGTTTGATGCAATGCTGGCAAAAACCACACGTTGTTAATGAAAAAGATTAACATGAACCAACTGTGCTGCAGTCAGCAGCACCTCTAATATTGGAATAAATCAGGGGATTCCACTGAGCTAAAGGTATATGATAAAAGCATACTACATATGCTAAAGAGAGGTGTTAAAGGAAGGTTGCATAAGCAAGTCTAGTTCTGGAAGTTTATAATGTTGGAATAAATTATTTATTAATTTTTCCATTCTTCCAATATTTTAAAAGTATGCTTTGAAAGTTTGCTATTCATCATTGTCTGCTAACTCCAAAGCCCCAGATTTCTTCAGGCGTAGTTTTGGTTTTGAATCCTAGTAAGTGAGGCAGAGACTGTCTGCATTAAATTTTACAATAAGTGTTATTTTTGAGTTTTACAACTATAAAACCTGTCTCCTGAAAATGCGATAAACGTAGTTTTTTTATCCTCCAGAGCAAACAAACAAACAAAAACCAACCTTCCAAAGCTTGCCTCATCCAATATAACCAAAGATATATATATAAAAAAAAAAAAAAAGGGGGGAGAAGTCCTTGAACTGAATAAGCTAAGAAAATTTTGAATGGAATTTCAGAAAGCTTTGAGTACAGTGCTGGAATGAATGTTGGAAATACATTGTTAAAGATTGGTGAAATGTAATACGAAAATAAGGTCAAATCTATGATATAATGAAGAAATATGCCAAGGAAATGATATTAATCAGAGGCATGAGATACTACTAAGGTTACAGGTCCCTTATTAGCCTGAGTTAGCAGTGTATTAGTGCTCACTCATGGTTTTAAGCTTGTAGTTAAGTCTAGTCTGCAAATGCCTAACTTTTATTTCATGCTAAACTTTTCTGCTGAGTTCATTCCATTAGCTCTCTTCTTAACCCTTTCCAGCCTGCCTTTAATGGTCTCACATTAATAGAAACTATACTTTACAGGGCACAGCTGCCATTTACTCCAAAGTCCTAGGGTTTGAAAATGACAAACTACAAAATAAACCAAAAAAACAAACAAACTAACAAAAACAACAAAAAATACTTTTCCTTGGCAAAAATAAGACAAATATCCTTACAGCATTCTCTAATCAGTATAGCCAATAGTAGAAAAAACTGAATAAGTTAATTCATGGTTAAATATGATTCCACGAATTCCCAAATTCTTGTGGGAAAATACAAGCATAAATGTAAAAACATAAAAATAAATAAAAGGTAGGATTGGCAGCCACTATTAAGATTCTGTGAGGTATCTGGTAGTTTGTACTACATTATATGCCAGGGTGGTTTCTGAATGGAATATTAAGCAGGAACAGAAGATGAAGAAATGTCACTCTGAATTAAAATTTATATAATTAACTGTCAAGTGCTGCAACTCAGAAGGAGCCACTTCCACATACTGAAGAAAGATGTTCTGCATCACTATCTAAGTGCAGGACCTAGTTATCATCCTCCAGGCCTGAAAAACAGCAACTAGTGGTATTGCTTCTGTTCCATCTGGAGGCTGATTAAGGATGTGCGCTCTGGTAGTTGAGATCTTTCTTAGTAGTGCAGATGCACTCTATTTCTAACATCTGGCTTTGTTGTGTCAGAGATTAAAAACAAAGAGGAAATTAGTACCAGAAATTCCAGCTGAAACAGCGCTGCTTTCTGCTGCCAAGAATTTGGAGGTGAAGAGCTGAGTGTGACTCACAACTCTTTTGACTGAGCTTTCTCTGTGAGATCAGAAATGTCATATTTTCAAAGTTAGCTACTCAGGTTAGATTGTAGGGACTTCTGAACACGGCATTGTTATGAAGATCACACATACAACTGATGTAGCTTATTCACTTGAGTAGATACTGCAATGCTAAGTCAAAGTCACATGTACTTTTTCCCTGGAAACTATTTTCAATTTCCTTCTTAAGTATAAAACACGTATTCATCAGTTATGAGAAAAAAATATTGAATAAAGTAAACATATTCTTGATGTTTTTGTTGTTGTTGTTGTTGTTGTTGTACTGATTGATGTTTCTTTGTACTGATTTTTCACAGCTATTTCTTATCTTATAACTACAGGGTCCAAAAAGTACACACTGTTCCCCTCTGCAAGGTCAGATGATTGGACAAGATTATCAGGGTATCATCAGTAACACTTCAGACGTGTAAGTCTCTCAAATATGGTAAAATTATTAAAGTAATCAGCATCAATTATTTATTCTTATATTTCCAGATCTTCCGTATACTCATGTCCCAAATTATTTGAACACAGTTATACTGAAATGCAGCTCCATTTTTAATAAGAGTGGCTAAACAGCTTCCACACAGCTATTAGAACAAATGTAACAGAAGTTTCTATGTGTAACTGCGGCTCATGCAGACAAGCCTAAGGCTGTAGTGACATAGGTGTTTACTCCAAGATGTTTTAGAATCAAGAGAATTTGAGGATGTTACTCCTAAGAAAATATGTGGGTACACAGTACAGGAAGTGTAGAATTTTACCTCAAATGTACAGAACAGGAAATCAAAGAATAATGTAGCTTTGATAAAAAGGAGCAGTTTTGTTTATGACAAAGATACAGAATATATGAAATATACTTATTTTACTTATCATTTATAACCCAGTAAGATGTAGAAAGTAATAAGTATTTGAAACTTAAAAGCATTTAAAACTTAAAATTTTGGAAGACTGGTTGGCCAGTCTTTAAAGGACAAAATTGTTGAAAGAACCCTTGAGAGTATCTGCAATTGAGAATATCCATGTGAATACAAGCTCAGTGCTACTTGATATTATCTCTCCACTAGTATAATATTATCTTTCAGTATACCAGGTAATCAGGTGTGATTATTATTAAATTATCTTGCAAGATGTGCAAATGTATCTATAGCTAATACAAAGTTATCACATATAAGGATAACATTCGTTTTTTCTTCTGGTTGTTTTGCAAATGGACTAGCTTTCTGGCCCTTGTACTTTAACCTGTATCTCTTTATTACCAGTGTGTTCTGGTAGTCCTATTTTATGCTTGCAAAAGCTTTGTCTAACTTGAAAATACAGTGCCTGAAACGATCACTGATCTTTGCAAAGCTGCTACTTAAATTATTATCTTATTCCCACTCTTAACAGTACCTTTTCCTATTGATTATGTTATGTATTATGATCACACATTATCCTATCCAATGTAAGGCTACAGTATGCTTAAGCCTACTCAAATAGTTAAATGGCAGATCTGCAGGGGGATGGAGTTAGCCATTGCATTAATATTTAACTCATTCTGCACGTATTATTGCTGTATCCTGGGTTGTAGATATATTATCTAGCTATACATATTTAAGCACTCTAAAATTCTCTATTTTAGAATATTCTTAGAAACCTTGAAGTAAGCCTATCCATCTATTATTGCTAACAATTCAAGAAATGTGTCATTCATGAAAAACTGCCTGTAACAACTTTATTTTCTGGCAGCTTTTTATACAGATCATCTGTCCCTGTTCATCCAGACGAAATAATATCATTAATCCTTGTATTCATGTTCTTCAGAAGTCATTGTGATTCTTGAAAATAGTCACTTGAGAAAGTTAAAAGTTACTGAAAATAGATTAAAAACAAAGTTTTTGCGTGGTCCAGATGACCATAACTTCAGCCGCTTCCATGAAACCTATCAACTAATGCTGTTTTACAGATCACAGAAATACGCAGGATATGAAGGCTGCAGAAGAGAAAGTCAACAGTCTGAGTCAGATAGCTGGAACAATGAAGATGATGATATGTTCCACAGGACTTCCATTCTACCTAGAAGTAACCAGAAATGCTCTTGTTTCCTTATTGTAATAGGCCAGCTACTGCACATAACTACAGTGAGATCAACACTACTCCCATGTACACAAGCTAAGAATTTCCCCTTTATGTCTTGAAGGCCAGATGACTCAGGTGAAAATTTTTGCCTCTGATGCATAGAAAAGCATCAAATCTTTGCCATATCCAGATGAAGATGGCCAACGTTAGGAGTTCTTCAACTCTTTTGGAGATCTGCTAGAAGGAAGGATCATGAGGCTGAGCTTAGTTAACTACGCGTAGTGATAACAGCTCTACTGGCCACCATCCATTTGCTACCATATTGAGCACCTCTGCTTTTGAGCTTAAAAAGGATGGGCAACTTGCAATTTTTGTTTTGCCATTTTTCTTGTTGTTGTTGTTGTGTTCTGTATAGTGTCCTTCTGCAAAACGAAAATATCTAAATACCTTGATTATACTCGATTAGGTGCACAGCGCTGCAATTTTTCGTTGGGTTTGGTTAAAGTGTGCAAAGACATCTTACAAAAATAAGAGAACAGTGCTCCCAGTCTTCAGCCTACAACAAAGCTGAGGAACAGATCATCAAGTTATCTCAAGTCAATTGGCATGTTTTCATTGCCAACAGTAGCCTCTGCTTGTAAGGACAAATTCTATAGTTTTGCCACTTCAAACTACTATTTTTTTTCCCCCCACCAAAAAAACCTACTGCTTTTATTCTATGGAAGTAACATAAATTACTGATGTGCCTCCTTTTTCAATTGCTGTAGTAGAACAATGATATTTATGTATCTTCTTAATCTAAGTTTTGTATCAGAAAGTATACTACAGAAAGCATAGCTAATTAGTAAAACTGATCCTTGGTTTTTGTGCATCAGAGGTACTTCACACCTTGTTATGGAAAGGAAGTGTGAGGTAAGATGAAGAGTGTGGCAGTATTAATCTTCAGGAAACTCCTGGAAACATGATTTCCTGTGAAGATGTGGCCGAAGTCTCAAATACAAATTACTGTTAAAGTTATAATTTTCCAAGAATGATTAATTCATAACAGACTGTATTTAGAAATTGTAGAAAGCAAGAATTTTAAATAATTGGATATGCAATCTCTATGAAATGTGGTGCTAGTTGTATCCATGATACTGACTGAGTCTTCTTTCTACTGTGAAGTAAGCCAAAAATACTTTTACAGTTTACTTCCACAGTATAAAACACTGAAGTGTACTCAAATTCTGCAGTCCCCTAGTTTTTAAATCCAAAACTTTGTGCTATGTTCAATAATCATTAAAAACTTCTTTTTTTTTTTTCTTTTTGCCATGTGTAGGCAGAACCTTTGCTTCTGAAGATGAACTGACTCATTTAATTAACTTTAAATCCTCACCAACCAGAGTACGTCCAAGGACTGGCATCAGACATTTTATTCAGGGCCTTAAGTCACGGATTGAAAATCAAGAGGTCTTGAAAGAGTTTATGGTAAAGTGTAATTCATTTTTAAGATCTTTAGCAGAACTAAGAAAGTGACTTTTAGAATTGTTCTACATACTTTATGGGAGATTCAGTTGTATCTTCACTGACTCCGTTTTCTCAGAGGATGTTCCAGCTAGGATAGGGCTTCTGCTCTGCTTTTTGAGTCATGTTGCACTATTTGTATCTCCCTCTTTCCATACAGGCCAGGTTTACTTACTGTATTTCCTGTCCAAAGATCTCACCCATTTGGAATTAAAAACAAGTAATACACAAAAATACAATACAGATAAATTTAATGTAGATCAACTTCTTTCTATTCCCCCCTCAGCTCTGCTAAATAGATGCCTAAGAACCCTTCTAGGCACTAGATTAAAGCAAGAAATCCAAACACCTAGACAATGAAAGAAAATGTTATCCACAATGCTTCAGTGATCCATGGAAATCATTGCCACAAAATGCTATTGAGGTCAGGGACTTAGTGGAAGTAAAATAAAAATAAAAACAATATAAGTAAATAATAAAAACATACAATTACATCTGATGACATAAATTATGAAAAAAATATAGAATTACGAATGCATTTCAGTATATGGAGCACTTAGTACTATTTATTAGCAATTTCTGAAGATTATTCCGTAGTTCTTTAACGCAGTCCTGGAATTTTTGTTAAATGATGTACTCATCCTCGATGAAATAGATTACTACCAGTTTTCCATAGTAATCAAAATGTTATCAGTTTCTTCAGGTTGCCTTCATATCTCACTTTCTGGGTAAAAAATCACATAGACTCATGTGTATAGGATTTGTTGACTTTCACCAAAAGCTCACATATACATTTCCACTAATTCTGTTCCATTACTGAGGTAGGCATAGCATGATATGAGCCAATTCGTGCATTTGCTCACAAAGCAGAAAGATCTAACAGGAAAACTACTGGTTACCAAAGTCAATGGATATTTTATTTGAGAAAAGCAATAGTTACTGATGATGACCTTGAAAAACTAACGAATATATTTCAGCCCATATTATACTATGTAGTGGCCAACTGTGAAGGCCAGGCATTGCACAATGCAAATCAAAGAGGTAGAAGAATAAAGAAAAGTGAAAGTAATTCAAAACTGTAAATGAAATTAATTTTCATCTTTTTGCTTCCTGGTCAAACTGCATTGTGTTACCCTAAATCTGCTACGAAGTTCTTAAGATTATGATTTTCACTTAATATCATTGATGTTGTTCCCTTTATCCATCAGTTTCTCTGTAATTGAAAATTATTCACTGACATTCATAACCTTCTAACAATGCTAAAGTTTATTCTCCAGTCACTTATGAATAATGATTATTTTGCCAAGACACTATTCCAAACATCTATTTTACAACAACATACAAAATGGTTCTGTAATTCAAGGTGCTGAGGATATGGGTTGGAAATCTCATTCAAAATCTCCAGAAACTTTCTGCATACTGAAGGAACTACTAAGCAATTTGAACTGTGCCTAGAAGTTTAAGGAAAAATGTGCTGATTCTCTTCTTTAAGAAGTCTGTCTCAGGTCACAAATCAGTAAAATCTCTTCATGAAGGACATGAAAACTGTGTGACTGTTTCTTTTTGATACAGGCTTTGGAACATGTGAAGCCAGTGGATGACTGCAGAACTGGCAAAGCACCAGAAAACCGGGATAAAAACAGATATCAAGATATTCTTCCATGTAAGTATGCACACCAATAAGAAGATACAGCTATAACACTGGGATTAGGAGGCGAAGCCCACCACATTCTTTTGTCATAGAAAATTCTACTAAAAATGAATTTTGATGAGATTTTTCCTAGAGTGTAAAGTTCACATAAGGTTGTCTGCTTTGTGCAGTAAGTAATTTCTCACTATCATCCTCAGCAAGGCAGGACTTGGTCTGGTCGGGAGGCAACTATCTTGGTGCTCCCTTCATTCTGTCATATAGTGGTCTAGTACATTTCTGTGGATTAGTGTATCTTTTCCAAATATAGCAGTTCTTTAAATCTACAGTTCTTTAAACTGTAGATACTAGCAGTTCTTTAAATCTACAGCTTTTGACATAGCAGAATTCTGAAAAGCACAGTGGAAATCACAGATATATGTAATTCTTGAAAAAATACAAGTTCATTTTAGAAGTATTTGAAAACATGATAGCCAACTAGATATTTCAGTTGCTCAGCTCTTATCTGAGTCAGAATTCTGATTAGCAGTGATTAATGTTAGAGCAGCCTGCCAAATGTGATCTAAAAAATAAAAGCATACTTTGTTGTTAGAGGCTGAGGTTCCCCATCTCCTAGATGCTAGAGGTGGCAGAGCTCCATTTCAGATCTACAGCTGCAATAGTAACTTTCTGTTTCTGTCCAGATGATAAGACACGAGTTCTCCTGGGAGAAAACAATGGCTACATTAACGCAAGTTATATCAGAATGAAAGTTGGAGAAGAGGAACACTTCTACATTATAACTCAAGGGCCTCTGCCTTCTACTATGGCTGACTTCTGGCAGATGGTTTGGGAGAGTGAATCAGATCTGATTGCCATGATGACAAAAGAAGTTGAGCTAGGAAAAGTGAAAAGTCATCGATACTGGCCTGAACCTCCACATGACTCCATAGATCTGGCTAATTTTCATCTCAGGCTGGACAGTTACCAGATTCTGGAATACTTCATAATTAGAATAATAGAAATGATCAACAAGCAGGTAAGTTGAGTGTAATTAACGTTTTCATATGTGAAGAAATTGAATAAATATCTTAAATGAATAAATACTGGCATTATTTGTTTCTTCTCTAACATCTGTTCACCATGTTCTTAGGAATGTTTGACAAACAGGAAATTTAGATAAATGAAATACTGCCTCATTGCTTATTGCACAAAGAGTGGATCCAACATTATAAACATTTGGACAAGAGTGTTCAATAATTAGTCCTTTAATATTTACAGAGTTGATGTGTTTTTTGCAGAATTTCTCACTGTTCTTATCAAATCAGATCATAAGGACTGCCATTCATGTTCTGTAAAAGTGGGTACAAGGAAGGATGAAAAGAAGTTGGTTTTCATCTTAAAATTTAGAAAGAATTATAATTTCTTTATTTCATGAGAAGACATGAAACTACCAATCTAACAGGACATTTTTGAAGATACAATAAATTTAGAACCTAATTGTAAGAACACTGAAACTGGGACAAATCCATCATTTATGCCTCCATATTAAATAAGACTTTGCCGAAATTTCTGTAGGACAAATTGGTTGATGAAATAATTAAAGAAAAATTAATTGTGCCAGACTAACTTGGTGTCTGTTTCTGTTAGTAAAACTATTTATATGATGAAAAATCTCACCTCACGTTACCATGTGAAAGATAGCAAAGTTTCTAATAAGGGTCTGTCCAGAAGATGATGAGAAGATTGGCCATTGTAAGTGATTGAGCCCTTACCTGATTTTAGTGAATGTTTTTATTTTTGCTACATTTGTTTTGTACCAGTATCAAATTACTACGGTAAATTATCAGTTTACTTCAGTAGAAATCACAGACATTAATTCAAATTATTCTAATGGCAAAAATCTAGATAGTTTTTTACATCCAGCTTACAGTCAATAGAAATCCATTGCCATGCTAACTGGGACTTTGGAAGGCTTCAATCCTTGAAGTTCCTAGATTCTTTTGTTTTTCAGATTCTCAGTTGCATAAACAATCATTTTTGCAGAACAATTATTGGTTGGACTTGGATCTTTACAGAAGATGCTTTTACCAGCATGGAAAAATTGTATATTTTTTCATTTAGTATTGACATAAGAAATAATAAGGAAAAAAAAAATGCTGTTTCCTCATTCATATTTCCAATTTATATTTATATATATTTACATTTACATGTATTTGTTTGTTTGTTTTTTACTGAGTTTTATATAGCTATGTTACTAATCTTTTGGTGAATACACACTTTTGTTTTCTTTTTTTCCAGACAGATGAGAGGCGAATTGTAAGTCATTTGCAGTTTACCACTTGGCCAGACCACAGTAGTGCCAAACTGTCTGAGCAGCTTGTAAAATTTATTTGTTATATGAGGAAAGCTCACAGGAGAGGACCTGTTGTTGCTCATTGCAGTGCTGGGATAGGAAGAAGTGGAGTTTTGCTTTGTGTTGAAATTCTTCTGAGCTATATAGAAAAAGATCTCTATGTAAGTACCAAACAAATGATTGTTAGATCTTACAGTAAATATAAATATTACCAATATGGATGTCAATAAAATGTGTTGATATCTTAGAACACAGTTAACTCCTGGTGGAAATTAATCCTTACAAAATGGAATAAACCCAGCTTTGTTATTTAAAAGAACAGAAATAATAACCAAAGTTATGTTATTTGTAAAAGAACTGAACCCCAGATTTCTCGTCATAAATTGTTTCCATTCTTTTTTTTTTTTTTTTTTTTTTTTTTTAAATAGTTTCAACATTAACATAATAAAAACTGTTCTCTTCTAATAGTTCAACATCAAGCACATAGTGAGAGATTTGAGAGAACAGCGGTTTGGCATGATCCAAAGTAAGGTAAGTTCTCAGCACTCAAACTAGACTACGACTTCAGAAAGCTTCAAATTCTGCTACAGATCCTTATGCTTGGATCATGTTTAGAAGTTTAGAACATAACCTTAGCCCCCTTGTGAGGAAAACAATAACTTTCCAGGCAAGTGTGTCTTTATCTAAATTTAGAAGGTCTTAGTAACTGAAATTAAGAAAGAAAGGGAAAAGAAAGCCAACGTAAAGAGACCTCTAGTGTAGCTTTAGTCACTTGAACTTCACAAATCATCAATATAGTACATATACAGGCCTCCTTTTGGCAAAACAAACAGACAAACAAACGAACAAACAAAAAAAACAACAAGAGGAATCACTGGCAAAACGGGAAAACAGGTGAGACTCTACCCTGCAAAAGCACAGCCTTTAGTTGAATTCTTGCAATTGTTAAGCTATCACTGCCCTTTCTACCGCTGAGCTAAACATACTCCCAGGAAGAGTTCACAGAGTACAAGACAAAATGAAGGTAACTCAACTTAGAACAAACAGGAAGTGGGATGAAAAACTAGACAAGACTAGGATAAGTTCTTCTCAGAGTCAAGTATTTAAGACATGCTCCAATATACCTTAGATTGGGCAGATGGTTAAAATTCAGCAGGTAAATAACCTCCATTGAGCTCAGTGAGACTCAAGCTCATGCTTACAGGTACTGCACTGAATAAAAAAGACCTCCTGAACTTTCATTAGTGAAGGAAAAATAAGATTGAGGATACCTTTAAATATACATATATTTATATATGTGTAACAAAGTTGCTGGTGTTACAAACAGCATTACAGCCAGTCTATAATTATTTATCTAGTTCCTTTGTCAAATGTATTCAGTTGTTTCACACTGGTGTCTCTATGTGCAGGATCAGTATTTATTCTGTTATGAATTTGTGCTGCAAGTCCTTCAGAACCTTCAAGCTGCGGATTCTTATTGACTGCAACGTGACTCTCCTCTGTAATTATCCTCCTCAGACTGCAGGGACCACTCAGCTATTGCTTTAAAGGAATGTGAAGTGTTATATTACATGTTCTAATAGATCACTCTGATTCCTAAAATGTTTAAAAACCTTGCTTAAAATGCCCTGGGTAAGTCATTCAAATCTCGGCTCACAGTTTGGAGAAGGAGCCAGCCGGAACTGCAGCACTGCTGTTAAATTGTCATGGACAGCTTGCATGTTCTATGTAATAACATATTAACTGCTAGGAAAATATTTTTGAACTGTGAGAAGGAAGTAGCAACCTTCAGAATTAGCTGTCCACAGGGCAACTAAAAAATTTAAGGCTCTGTGTGTTTTCGTGGAAGATTTGTTGTCTCCTCCATACAGCATTCTTGGCTTCTGGGCTGCAAATCAGTATTTGCATAGTAGATATGTTTTTGTATGGAAGGATTCAATTTGTTTGCCTTTTATTGCTTGAACAGTGTAGAACCATTTCCAGTCATTACGCCAGCACAGGAATTTATACCACTGTCACTAGACATCTTAAAGCAAGAGATAGGCAGAAACTTAGGATGCCTTTAAACCTTAGCTATTTATCTTAAAAGCAAGAAGAGAGTTCTAATTATTGGATGGCATATTCTTATTTTCTAGCAATATGAACAGCTGTAGGTAGAGTCAGAATTCTTCCATTCTACATCCACGTAAAAAGGATGCAATATTAAATCAGACTGTGTGTGTATTGTGGTACACATACACATTTCATCTTCCACTGATGCTTTCTATTGATCTTTCACTCCACTGAATTATCTTGTCATTCTTAACTAGAATCTGAATACATTTACGGGAAGACCCATTGGTTTCAGTAAGAGTTGAACCGTTCTTTAAATAAGAGTAAATAATTCTCTGTACAGTTCATTTCTCTTGTAAAAACTGGTTTTGTTATTGAGAGTTTGGACTGGAGCAAAAGCACAGTGTTCAGGTTTGTAAGATTGTAGCTGTCTCTACAATAATAATTCTGTTCCAGTTATCTACGTGGTGGTATATATTGAAGTGGTGTTACTAGATATGTATTGGGAGAGTAGCTTCAAAACATAGGAAATGATAACAGCATTTATTTAACTGAACTGTACATATTTTTAAAAATTCCTTGATTTCAGAAAATGTTAAGAGGCATTTGAATATAAAACTGAGTAGAAATAAGACAATAAAATAGCTGTTTACTGTCATTATGAAAGAGGCTTATGGCTCACAAAGAATGAGGAATTAAATACAAATTAAAAGCATGACTTTTTCTAAAAGTCACTGTTGTACAATTATAATTAAGGCCCAGGGCCATTTTTTTTTGCTTTCTGTCCTCAGATGGTCTGCTGGAAGCCAGTGGAAGATATAAATAGGATTTATGACATGAACCAGATGCTAATTTCAAACATACTGACAAAGATCCAGAACAGCTTTAAACCGGTGGAATAAACCTGGATCTATATTGGTATAAGTATAAACAGAATTCTATGTTTTGTCTTAAATTAATTGAATTTGAGCCTTCTAGGCTTCATACGTACTAAACTTACTTTCCTTATGTTGCATATAAAGGACTATTTGCACAGTTTTGTCAAGCATCATCAGCCAAATTTTTACTCATAACGCCATTACCTCCATTTGCTATTTGGCCTTTAACTTTGATTTTAATTATTGTACATTTACTTCTATGCAAGATAACACTGCAACTAAATGCACAATTCACTTTTGTACCACAGCAGCTTTAAAAACTTCTCAGTAAAAATCTTCCTGTGCTTCTTGCAAGGGTGTTTTTTCTGTGGTTTGGAAAAGATTCTGGATTTTGAAGACAATCTTTGTGGCACTATTTGTTCCTCATTTGTGCATCATCTTTGCAGCTGTTTGTCAGAAGCATTTCCTGTTTTACAGGGATATTAAAAGATTTCTGAAAACACTGAATTGCGTTTCATTTTTTTTTAATGGAAAAGCTATTTTAATATTAACCACTAACCAGAAAGAACCCATGGGAATAATAATATTATGTTAATAAGGGTGTATATTTAAACTTCCTGTAAAGGCAGATATTCTCATGATGGTCCCTCTTGTATTTTCCCCTAAGGCAGAGACTACTAACCTGTCTTGTTTTCAGCTGAGACAGAGCTGATTTTTCCTTCATAGTGCCTGGCATGACATCATGTTTGTCTTCAGGAGGAAAAAAATGTTGATAAAACTGTGATGTTTTAGTTGTTGCTGAGTAGCACTCTAGAGAACAAAGGGCATTTCAGCTTCTCAGCTCTTGTTCTATTCTGCCAGTGAGGGGGCAGAGGTGGTATGAGGACTTGGGAGAGGACGGGACCAGGACAGTTAGCATAAACTGGTCAAAGGGATGTTCCGTACCATCTGACATCATGAAAAATGGTGGGGACTTGGCTGGGCAAACAGCCACTGGTGGAGACTAGCTGGGCTTTGTTTGGTGAGTGGTGAGCAATTGCTTGTGCATCACCTGTTTTGTATTTATATATATGATTATCATTACTATTATCTTTTTGTTTCTCTTCCTTTTCTGTCTTAGTAAACAGTTCTATCTCACTTGCTGAGTTCTACTTTTTTTTTTGTCCCCCCCCATCCCAATGGGAGGGGGAGTGAGTGAATGACTGTGTGATGCTTAGATACCTGTTGCGTTAAACCAAAACTTGACATCTGAGACATTATTTCTGCATTTAAAAATGCTGATTAACAGTGCAAGGCAAAGAAATGATGACTTTAGTGATTAGATGTATTTATCAAGGAGAAATAAAGTGTATCATACTTCCATCTCCTTTTAATTCAGTAATCCATATTTCTTTGGAATAAGAAACAAGAGGGTTGCTTTATGCTTAATAATTCCCTAGTTTTTTTGCTGTACAGCTGTGATTTACAACACACCTTCATATACCTTCAGGAGAATATTACACTGGCTATAATTCAGTTTTGTAGTTTTGCTGTCATCTAAATCTATAGCACTGCTGCCTATATAAATGCCTTTCTGTGACTATAGCTATAAATTGCTGCATACATCTTAACGTTCAGAAACTAGCAGCAACCATTACAGTCAGATGTAGCAAGGGTGGCAAATAACCATATAAACTCTGGTTGGTAAAAACAACAAAGTTGCCGTAATTTAATCTAAACAGCAAAGACTGATGAATAGGCAGAAACTCACTTCAGGTACCCTTGCAACAGAGCAAGCAACCTTCTGTAAAACACTGCAATTGATTCATTTGACCAGGATTTGCTTAAATAACAGTGGTAGCAGCCATCAGCTCCTAAAAATTTTTCCCCATACTAAGCACAAACAATTCCCATTTCTTCATGCAGAACTCATGCAAAACTCTCAGGGGGATCGAGGCTCAATGATACACACTCATATGTAACAAGAGATAGCTCGTAACTTAAGATCAGAAAACAGAACTGTACTTCTCAAGCCCACTGATGTGACATCATTTAGCACAGAAATTTATACGAATGGAACTGAAACACATCCTAAAAGCAACTTTTCTTTAACCATCTTTATGATTGGACTTTGTGGCGTTAATGAACAACAAAATCTCCTGCGATGGCAAAATTACGGAAAACTCATATATCACCAGTATTGCAAAACAAGAGCTAGGAAATACTGCCACCTATAGGCAAATAACTTCTGCGACTACGTTAATTGCGATCAGTCCCGTATGGCCGAAGCAGAACCAGTCCGCCAACTCTCTCTGAGACTCCTGTAGTTTCCCCAAGAGGGTCTGAACAGGAGACAGTGCTCTTCCTCCTACCCGCCAGGCAAGTGCTGCACGCTGCTGACAGCTGTACTAGACAGTATATGTACTGCTGCAGGTCCCCCAGATCCTAAAATAGTGACAACAAAATTGTTTCAAGGAAGGGAAGGTGTCTCATGTCCAGAATTCTGATAGGATTGATACAAATCTAGACCAGAGCATAAGTTATGAATAAACCTGCTCTTGGCTTTAAAGAAGGGGTGCTTTTGGAATGAGGCAATTTTATCTACTGAAAATTAAGAGTAATGGGAAGTACTACTACAGTTTTACAAGAGTTGGTTTTATGAAACATTCTGAGCAGCTGAATCTAATTGATATAGGGTATAATGAGTGTGTTATAAATCCTGTCAACTTGTTTCTTTTATTAAGTATGCTGTAAATGCATCTGCAGAATGAGGACTGGAGACAGAGTCATGTATCTTAGTGCAATGATCTTGAGCATACATCATACACAATCATACATTGATGCATATAATCTACATACAACTTAAACTGTGCTGTTCTGCACATGTGGCTTAGCCCAAGGCCTGTGCTGTTAATATTCCTTGGATTGATGACAAACTTAGACAATCAATTGTAACAGAGACCCTCTAGGTAGCTCTCACTTGATACTGCTGATTATGCCACTTGCATGCCCTTGTCTTAAACTAGAAGTGCAGCAAGAAGTTTGCACATGAGTGTCCTTTTTTTTTTTGGTAGTAGAAATGATCAGTAGTTTTCTTGTAAGAAAATCCTGCAGGATTAAAATGGGGTAACAGACCAGATCTGCTCTTGAATGCTGTGCCCCAGTCAGATGGCTTTTCAATGCCACAGAACTTTGAGGTCTCACCATCTAAACAGATCTAAGATTATCTATATCTCTCTCTTTATAGTGTTAGCTGTAGTAAATAGCACTTTAAGTGATACTCCAAAGGATCTGAGTACCTTTATTACTGCAATTGTAATGGAACAGCATCACCTGGTGCAAAACAATTAATTATGAGTGGTAATTCTAACAGTTGTTGAATCACATAGTTGAGATCAACATAAAAATTGCCTGCTTCAACATCCAGATTGCTTGCAAGAGCAACTACTGTAATAATACAAAAAATAGATGTCAGATGATATCTCTATGCTGAGAATAAAACAGGCCTCTGTGGCTTAAAAACTGGGAGTCCACTATTGGACTGATTTTTTTAAGCATCCAGTAGCATGTCTGATGGAATACAGCAGCACTTTCAAAGGCATGTATAAAAGTAAGGTACAGTTCGTGCATCTGTTTTTACAGATGTATCTCTGTAGATTTGGATGTAAGTTTGTGAAATCTGAAAATTTGGCCTTGTTTTGGTCAATTACTTACTGAACACTGGAAATAACAGAACTTCCTTTTTTATTTGGGCTTCTTCAGACCCAAAAGCATGGAACAAATACCACAGATTCATAGAAACACAAAACCACAGGGTATTTGGAGGTAGAAGGACCACAGGAGAGCATCAAGTCTGAACCTCCCAGCTCAGAGCAGTGTTACCTAGACCTCAGGAAAAGTATTCAGTTGAGGTTTGAATATCTCCAAAGACAGAGACCTGCCTGGGTAAACTACTCTAGCATTTTACCACTGTTAGCAGAAAAAGGGTTTTCCTCATGTTTGAAAAGATAACACTAAGAAGAGTCCAGTTTCATCTTTTACTACCCCCCATTAAGGAATTTTCACATATTGATAAGTTTCCCTGGCCCTTCTCCAGGCTAAAATCAACCACTGGTCTCTCAGCTTCTCCCTTTATGACAGGCATTCCAATTTCTTAAACATCTTGGTGGCATTAGTATGCCAGTGCAGATTGAGAGAGGATGAGATCCCACCCAAAATTGTTGAAATTATGAGATGCAGTGTTTTGGCTCCTCCTAGCATAAGATAGTTGCTGTTTTAATATCACTTATGCGCTAATCAAGGCCCGAGAAGTAAGACTGAAGTTTAGTAGAATATGCAGAGGCTGGAGTACCTCTTCGTTGTCAGTCTTCATGATATGTCAGTAATTAGCTCTACCTTATAGCTAGTCTTGAATGTTTGATGTCTTTTCTTGTACAACAGAGTTCCGTAGGTAGCTCCTTCCTGCTAGAAGTAAATGGCTGCTCAGAATTCACTCCCTTTTCTTCACAGCACCAGATACACATGTATTCCTGAGGGACAGTGGGCTTTTTGAGATCCTACTCTGAGTTTTACAGCTATTTAACTTGCTCATTAAACCATTCAAAACCAAAACTCAAAAGCCAGCCAAACTGCCCTCGAACAGCACACCCCCAACCAGGTGGTGACACAATGGGCGCTATACAGTAGCTGTAAAGCACCCAGCTCATTACACAACCTAGCAATTAATGTAAGTTTCCTATGCTCCCTCCCCTCCTTGCACTCGCTCTTGAGAGATGACATTTCCTTCTCCTCATTCCTGTTCAGCTCAGTTGGAAAGGGGCCTTTGTGACTGTAGGCTTTCCTTTCCCTCCGCAATGCTGTAAAAGAGCTCTTAACTACTTCTCTCATCACTCCCTTCATGGGTGAAGTAGATTTAGCCCAGGCAAAGCACCAGCTGCAGTACCTCTTGGTCAACTCAGTGCACCTAGCAATAGTTTCCAGGGCAGAAAAGACATGCTGTGAGCTTGTTTAATGCCAGCATCCTTGGATGCGTGACAAGGACGCTATTGGAAGTAATGAACATTGGAGAAATGTAGCTATAGCAACACTAGTAGTCACAAAGCAAATCCCCACCATGACTGCATGGAAACTACTGTTACTGCCCATACAGAAGTGCTGATAAAGCAGGAACTCAAACTACAGCATGCCTGGCCTGCAGTCTTGCCACAACTAACATTACACATGAAAGCGTAACAATAGCAGACAGAAACTTAGATCACACACTCTTGGAAATACCAGGAAAACAACAGATCAAAAATTGTTGATTATTTGCAGGGAAATCCCAAATTTCACTCAGTTGGCTACAGATTTTACTGCAAATTTAGCACTAAGTCATTAAAGGAGCCATCTATTGATAACACTGTCACAGTGGTAAAGGAGACAGACAGAGCTTCAGAAGCAAGAATGGAACATTGGTCTGTTGCTGAGAAGTCCTATTCCCATCCCACTTATTTTCTGCATTGAAACTGGGCAAAACTTGTAGTTGTGTACTCAACAGAAAAACAACCCATGCTTTCCAACATTTGTTGGAACCCTAAGCTCAAATAATTGAATGACTCTTGAGGAATTTTGACTTTCAGGAGATAAAAGAGAAACAAAAAGCTTTTTTATTGAAGTTGGAATAGCACTCTACACACCCTTTCTGAACTCCTGAGTTTCTCTTTTCACTGCATTTATAATTAATTGTAAGTCAACTTCCTTAATAACAGCATGCCTTGTCTACTGTTTCGCCATCTTAGAGGACACACACAAGCCATGGGAAAAGCTTATACACAGCATAACATATTCTTCATATTTGCATTCTTTAGTAACCGTATATTCCCCTTCATTGCTGTATGTGAGTTAGGGTATATGTAGCAAATATCTGTCTCAGTTATTAGGAAATTTGTGATGCTTCATTATAGGAAACAGGCATTTGATTTGACTGGGTAATTTCCATTATGTGTCCATGTATCTTGGAAACAGTAGAATGTTGGTAATGTATAATTTCAACAAGTAGAAACAACATAGTTATTTCACAGCTAGAAATTCCATTAGTATCTCCTAACTTGAACCATTTAGCACAGACTGAGCATCACGCCTTTCACTTGACAGCAATTTTAGATCAAAAGAACTAAAATTGTTCCTGTCATCAAAATTCCAACAAAGCCTGGGTTGCCAGCAGCAGTGAGATGACCACACCTCTCAGTTCAATACAAATGCTTTATTCCTTCAGAGCAACATTGCTTTGGGCAACAACAGCTTCCAGAGCAGTCCATGCCAACTCCTGCTGAGATTTTCAATCTCATGGAGACTTCACCACCTACTCCCATTCTCATCAACATTCACTTAGATCCCTAGCTGAGCGTGGGTGGCTGCTGGTTTATGTTCTCCTGCCAGACTTTGTCAGTAGCTCAAAAGGCCAGGTTAAATTACTCGAGGACTCCTCCTGTGTACTTGCATAATACTGGTTTGAATTCTATCAAAGTATCTGGTGAAATTCAATTATCTCTTTGAAGTATTGAGAAGGACACAGAATAAGCCTGGAGCGCCATCGGGAAGCAAACACATTAGAACTATTTACTGAACAAAACTTTCCACCTTTCCCTTTCGTCAACAGTTTCTTTGTCTTAGTTGTTTGGTTAACAGGGCAACACATTCACACACCTGCCATCATCATCCCATTGCCAATTCTGATAGTGTAGTTTGAATTCTAGTTTGTTGTAAAGTCCTTGAGGAATTCAGTGCACAGCTGCACAATCTCCACGTGGTCGAGACTGTACAAAGTACAGTTTGGTCAAAGTACAGTTTGAAGACAGCTGAAGACATTGCAGACTTGGGCAGGAAGGAAAAGCTTTTGACAAGGCTGCTGTACCCTGCAGCTTCTGTCCAAGTTGTCCTAAAATCATTACAAAGATAGGGTTCTTAGGCCCATCACTGTGTCAAAACTGTGCCATGAACACCTCAATATCAGCAAAATTCCCTTTTCCCACTTTATTGTTGATCGAAGAAGTAAAATAACTTAGCCAATGCTAATCTCTAAACACTACATTTTGTTATGTTAAAAGCTTAAAGGCAGTCCAAGTAGCTTTAGGCTCATGCTGCATGCTCACTATGCCCATGTAAATACCTAGTAACTAGACCAGCTCTCAGGAAGGACCCTGTTTATGTGTAATTTTGTGTTTGTGTGAAAGTGAGGCTAGGACTATTAGAGTACTAGGGGAAAGAACAGTGACAGTGACCTGTCAGAGGGGAAAATCACCCTGTGAGGACGTGCTTGATGGATCCACTGGAGTGAATTAGGTCACCTAGTGCTGTCACAAACAATAGGGCCATAGCTCATACAGTGAATGGCAAGCAGCCTCCCATATGAATGTCTTCAGACAATTGGCTCTGCTAATAAGGTTACCAGCAGTGATATTACATGTCAAACATCACTGCAGACATGAGCTGGAATGGGAGAGGAGGCAGAGATTTGAGCTGAAAGCAGGCAAACTGAAGCCTTAGAGTGAGTCTTTCCCCCACATAGCTAAGAGAAGATCTGCTTTGGACTTGACAGATTTCACTCTGAAAAGCTGCTTTGTCCTCTAGACTAACTCTTTTTTACCAAAGTATAAAATGTCAAATAGGCTCAAGCAATAGTCTGTGATTCTTCAAACTTACCAGTGACTTTAAGGTCTCAGTTCAGGAGTCTTCCAGAAGTCTTGAATTTCAGGAACTCCTGTGTATCCACATTCTGGATTCTCAGTCATGGCTGGAATCATAGCATAGCCTTCACAGCCACTTCCAGAAGATTTGACCACCATTTTAATGATTTCCTCCTTCTACATCCATTCTTTCCCATTAGAAAGTCCTAATAAAAGGGATGGGAAAAAAAAAGATATTGACTGATAACTTTTCAAACTCTTTTCTCTTTATCAAAAATCTCACAAAACCCTTGGCAAATGCAGGAAATCCTTTGATTATTGGTCTTTTAGGGAATATACCATTCCAACAACAAATAAAAGATACTGGAAGAAAATTGTATCTTTGTTCCTTAATACTTCGTCCATCTTGTAAAGCTGCAAGAATGTTGTGCACTAGATCCAACAAGTGCACTTGAAAAAAAGAGAGAACAAAGGTAACAGTTTTTATCTTTCCAGAATTAAAAAGTTATGGGAAAAAAATGGGAAGACTGACACACATACATCTGTATACAGACCCAACAGGATAATTCAACTTTCAAGAACAGAATTAGTCAGAATTCGACATTAATTTCACTATTCCAACCATCACTCCCTTAGGAATTTCAGGCTTTTGGATATCTAAACTATACAGTCTGCCATGTGCATCATTACAGTATTACATTTTTTGATTTTTTTACTTTTCTGATTCTGCATGTGAAATCAATAGAAATTTATCATGGCTGTGGTTTACCTGTTTCTTGTGGAAATCTTTTTAAAATTGATTTATAAATTACCTGAAACTGAAGGAAACTGTACATTTATTTTGGAAAGCCCATTTTTGTTATTACATAACTTTTTCTGCTAGAAAAAGAATATTTCTTGAAAATGTCTGCCATTGATTTTTTTTCACTGTAAAAACGGAAATCCAAATCTCCTTTAGGTTATCGTTCATTATTTTTTTTCATAGTTCTAGTCCAGCAAGAATTCTTGTCTTGTAGAACTCACAGCACGAAGAGAGCTGACGGCAGATGGAAGCACAAGGTTTGTGATTCTTCCAGTTCCCACCAGATGTCACCAAGCTCTCAAGGATCTCCGGAGCTCGGGCAGCAAAAGCTTCCTGCTTAAGCGCCCAGTTGCAAACGGTGTTTTTCTCTATAAAAGACAGCAGAGCAAAACGGCTAACCTAACGGTCTTAGGACCGAGCCCTTATTTATGTCAGTGGCTGAAGCACTGCTGAATTGATACTGAGCCAAAACTGCTATGATCTCACTGCTGTTGGGTAGTTTGATCCAAATGGACTCAGTGTCTGTGTTCCTCCTACTGGGTAATGTACCACCACTTTCTCTCTCTCCTCTACCTGAAATAGCTGTCAGAACAGGTAGGAGTATAATAACATGCACAAAAAGCAGTTTGTGCCACTGCGTGGTTCACTTCTGAGTTTTACTGAGTGCTGAGTGCTGTGGTTTCTTGCACAGCAGAAATGCCTGAGGTCTCACTACTCAAATATGTGTGCTCCCAAGAATGAGCCAGCTTGCCAAGAGGCTCTCCTCAATGCATCCCAGTTGGCAGAACTGCACTCTAAAGACTGCCATCAGAGGAAACGTTCAGTCTCCAAGAGATTAGATGCGCAGACTAAATAGGATGAATAGAAGTTGACAAATATCCAAGATGTATGTCTGAGAATGAAGAGGCTGTACTGGAAATGAATGGATTTTAATGAGAGAAGAGAAGGAAATTCACCATGAATTGCAGACATCTATTGTCCCGAAAAGGCATTGTTCCCTACGGCCTCAGAACAGACACAAAAGGCACACATTCCATGAAGTATTGTTGGGACTGGCTTGACAATGGCAGCTTGGGCCTGTATAGTACCTTTCACAGAGGGCCTCAAATCATTTCTCTCCTGAGAGGCTGGTAGCATTATCCCTGGCTTTTCACGGACAGTGAAATACACTCTGAGACAAAATGACTTGGCCTCATAGTGAACAACTCCCAGAGCTGGGAAGTGAATCCTGGTCAGTATAAATGAACCTCTGGCCTAGTGCCTTGTTTCTGTAATGCTGCTCTTGGAGAAACGAAGTTGCTCATTTCTATTGCACCAGTGCTCCCAAATGACATTGTAAGGAAGAGCCCCTTGTTGATAAGAATAGCAAAGCCTGTTTGTCCAAAGTAACTGGGAACACCGTGCACAATTCTCCATGCAGCATGCACATCAACCAAGGGGACACAGCAGAATCTTCCCAGTATTTGATGCCCAGGCAGCTGACACCAGCCACAGGGTTATTCAGATAGAATGTAAGACTCACTTGCCAGTCCTGAGATTCATCAGGCCATCCTGGGCTTGCCTCCTGTCCGCTTTAGTTGTTAGTATAACATTTGCCTCCTGGCCTACCAACACCAGCATCCAATCTTCAGACAGAATTACCTCACTATTAAGGTCTGAGTTGTCACTGAGAGTTGTGGCTGTATGTTAAAAATAGCTCATAACTGCACACTGTACACACATAAATAATTCATGGCTCCACGAATGGTAGCTCTGATTACAGTTGTCTCAATTCTGCTTTGCAAGGAGTAGAGAGAAGCAGTGGTCCCAGCCTGGGGTTTCTCTACCATTTTTCCTCCATCAGCAAACATGATTTTTACTGTTATCACAAACTCCTATTCATGAAGTGACTTCAGCTGAATCAGTGACAGTATCAGAGTATTTCCAATGCTTTATCTCTGACAGAATAACTGTTTCTTTGTCTGCCATAAACATCTTGCTTTGACACAGGTGCACAGGTGCACACCAACCTTTAAAAGGCTGGGTAGACATTATAACCCTTCTCCTTCTGATACAGAATCAAGTCTCCCTTCTCTGCCACCCATCAGCACTTTTTGTCATGACTGTCCATGCCAAACCCTGCATACACACACGAATCGGAAGTGACTATGTGAATTGCTACCTTGGAAACATAAAACTCTGCCACTTACAGAGCATGGCTGCTCCCCTCTGCAGACATGATCACAGCTGACACACTCAATTTGCTCACTCGCCAGCCAGTCTTGATCAGTTTGTGATACAATCCATGCTGCTGCATCTGCACTGCTTGCAATATTTAAATTAGCTTGATTTAGTAATTTAGATTTTGTAATTTTGCAGCTACTTGCATTGCAATCAGATCCGTGACCATGATGTTGATGTGAACTTGAAGGGCATCTGAACATTTTGGCTGTTTTTTGGCTAGTGAGAAATTCTCAACTTTTGGGGCTATTGCCATATCTTTGGGAGGAATTCAAGCCATAAAGAAGAAGCAAGGTAGCAGAATTCTGATCCACTAGACACTAATTTCTAATCTAAGAGTATTTTACTTCTGAGTGTTTCCTTGATGCAATCGTCTGCTCAAGACAGTCGTATTTCTCATCTGTTAATCACAGCTGGCCTTATTTTTCTTTTTCTTTTTCAATTAAAAAATAGATGAAAGGAAAAGAATTTAAAAAGAAATCAACAATGAATTTCAAAATGTATCTGAAAAGCCAAAACCTCTCTGGTTTCCCAAAATGTAGACAAAGCTGTAGAGGCCCCCAGGAAGAATTTTTGTTTCCAAGTAGTTCAATAAGCAATTTGAGCCAGGGATGACTTTAATTCTTCTCTAAAAAAAAAATTCCTTAGAGGGCAACTAATCTTGAATGGTTCTGCCACAGTGAATAGTAATTGAGAGAGATCTATTTTACATATCACTGCTACGTCATGCTCCCAGAAATAGGTGAACCTATCATCACTTGGGTTTAGAAAGCTTGGTTCTGCTATCAAGAGGCAGTCCTGCTAATTGCCTGGCCTTAAACAATGGGAGCTTACAAAACAGAGTGAGACTGATATTTTACATGAGCAGATAGTGATAGGACAAGGGGAAATGGTTTTAAACTAAAAGAGGAGGGATTTAGATTAGTTGCGAGGTTGAAATTTTTCCTCAGATGACGGCAAGGCCCTGGAGCAGGTTGCCCAGAGAATTTGTAGATGCTCCATCCCTGGAGGCATTCAAAGCCAGACTGGACGGGGCCTTGGGCAGCCCACAGCAGAGGGGTTGGAACTAGATAATCTTTGAAGTCCCTTCCAACCCAAACCATTCTATGATTTTATGTTCTTTGCCCAGATTTTAGCTGTGCTGCCTATTCCAGCACAAAAAAAAAAAAAAAAAAAAAAAAAAAAGCATTCTGAGCACAGCCTCTCAACAGAACATCTTATCTGAAAGAGCATCACTCCAAGTGGAACATCTAACAAACTCCAAATAGCTGCACAGTACTCGAAGTGAGAAAGGCAATGCTGAGAAACTTAGCTTAAGCTCATCTATCTGTCTCCATGTCCCTGCAAGGGCTAAGGCTGGGGGAGGGGGAGAAGTTATTAGTTTCAAACTATCCTTATTAACTAGACATTTCATTTAGATTGTATTTAGCACCTGCCTCCAATTACCTGTCTTCAAGGCCCATGTGTGACAGAAGCTGGAGCTCTGATTAAATCCATGCTTCATACTAGTGAGCCATTAAGCCAAATCAAGGCTTGCCGCTCCTTTGAAGGAGATCATTTGTCTTCATTAGAAATGGCCATCCTTGATTGCCCTGACAAGAGCATCTCCCTGCAAGATAATAAGGCCTGTTATTGTCGAGAAGTAAAATAATGTATTGCAGCTCCCTGGAGAGTGATTTGTATTTATTAATGTTCTCACAAATTACTGTACCTTGATAAATATGTGACTGTGACAGGCAGCAGGGGTGCGCTGCTCATCATGGACATTGATGCAGGCTACTGTCTCTCAAATGATGAGATAGCAGCAGAATGTCAGGGAGCTGCTGCCTGCCCTTTAATGATGTCTTAGATCAGTGAGGGCATGATGGACAGAGACTTAGCCAGGTCGTGAAAACCTGACTAATCACATCTCTGACTGGATCTGAATCTTCAGTCCAGATACAGAAGACTAGAAAAAAAAATCACTGTCTTTGCTAGTAATATAACACTCGTTATTCTCATCCATTACTTCAGTAGTGGGAAAGCAGAGGAAGAAAAAAGTAAATTGACTTGATCATAATCACTTGGAAAGCCAGGAAAAAGGCCAGATGAAGAATTCAGATCTATTGAATCTACCACTTGGCATAATGAAAACTATACAAATCCCACTGTACTTTTGTGACAATCATAATCAAACTAGAATTA